AAATAAGACTGAACCATTCATTTTGAGCTAGACAGAACAAAATTTATAATAAACAAATAAGAAGAAAGAAATGTACAAGAGTATTTGGTGTATAAAATATCCATACTTGAAATATACAATTGTATAATTTTTTTTCAGGACTCTGAAATATGTCCTGATTGTGAAGGCTTCATTTTGGGAGATGTTAACACAATATCATTCTATAGTGATGAACTGATGAAAAAGTGGCCAAGCTTTGTGATTAATGTCCAGTAAGAGAAAAAATAAGGAAGAAAGGGGATTGCTTCCTCTTTTTATACACTCCTGCAAGCTATTCTCATTGGTTTACTGGTAGCCTATTTAATGTCTATGTTTGACCACAAAAATAACCGTGGCATGCAGATTTTAATTTCTGCTAAAATTCACAAGTATTTAAAATATTTAATGTTGATATATTTTTTTAAAGTTTTGACAAAATTAGCAACATTAACCTTTTCTTTCTAAAGATTGTTTTATTGCTAAACTATTATTCTGTAAATTAATTTTAAATATTTGGTCTATTTTTTGGGGCCACAAAAGTTATTTTTTCAGTTAAAGTCCATCTACAAGAATACACATGATGAAAAGGTTGAATAATCAATAATGCCACCATTTTAAATAACATTGCTTTCAGTTATAGTAATATCAATGATAAAAATTGTCCATCTTTCAAAAAGAAATTAGGTAAGTATCTTCCACATAATTAAAACCATTTCCAGGAATAGTAAACAGTAACTTGGTTAGAACAAATGTCAGATTTGGTTAATATTTTTTCAAAGATAAAAATGCAAGTACAAACTAGTTTACTGAATGAAAACATTTTAAATAAAAATATTGTGAATTATAAATAAATCTATTAACCAGAAAATTGAAATGTTTGAAAATTTAAAAGAAAAATAAATTTTACATATAAATTGTTTCCCTGTCTTGACTGTTTGGGAAAACTCTTGAAAACTTACATACTGGATTCTACACTGGATATTTCTTTATAATTGATATCCTTTCTTTTACGAACTGAAACTCTGCCAGGATTTATTTTAGGTAAATCAACTGAGGACTTTGAAATAAAAAAAAAATAACAGCAATGCAATCAAATAATAAATACCAAAGCTAAATAGAATCATTAGTTTTTATAAGTAGTTACATATGAATCTGAAAATTACAATTTACAGCATCTTACTTAAACCAGCCATTTATAACTTTCAATTCAAATTGAGCTAAGTCAATACTTTTAATATATATTTTAGAAATAGAATTTCTATTTGAATATTTAAAGATCTCATTGGAGGTTTTAGGTTGATGCAAAAATAATGTCGTTTTTTGATGCTAAGTTGAATGTCAAAAAACGACATTATTTTTGCACCAACCTAATACTAAATTTAATTAATTCTATAAAAGCATACATATTAAAAGAAAGAAGAGGAAGTTGGACAAAAGTAAATACAGCCACAGTAAATGGCAATGCAAAAAAAAAAAAAGAGAGAAAAATATTAGAAACAATTAACTGGTTTTTGTTCTCTCATCATAGCTTGTTTGAAGAATTAAAATACCGCACAATGACTAAAAGAAATGAAGGTAGAAATAGGATAAGAAATAAATATATCAATAATAATATATTGACACATGTATACATATGCTATAAACAGATCACATTGTAACTTAACATGCATTCCATTTGTCTACACAAAATTGTCTCAAGAACTTTCAGATGAAAGTTAGATTGTGACTTACTCAACACAGAAAACATATTCTCATGGAAGGTCAATACACATTGCCAATTTTTAATAAGATGCTTGGAAATTTCAGACACTTATGCAAATTTTCAGGTCAACTTTTTCTAATGCCTGCTGTCACATGTTAGACAATTCTCATCTCTAATAGTTAGGAGGTCATAGCTATGTAGTCAGCCTTGCACAGTCACTTAAATTGATGAATAATGGAATTTGTTCAGGTATCATGAATGTTAAAATCAATTCATAAAGATGGATTACCTATGTTTCAAACAAGATGAGAGAGTAATGAAAACTGGTTTTCTGTTTCTAATATTTTTTTCTCATTTTTCTTTTTTTTTGCATTACCATTTACTATGACTGTATTTTCTTTTGGTCAATTTCCTCTTTTTTAAATATATCTGTTTTTATAGCAATAATTAGAATATTGTTTAATTAATTGACTGTTATATATTATCCAACAATGCTACACTAATCATATTAAGAACTGAAAGTTATAATTCAACTGTTAAAAACCGTGTCTAGAAAAATATTAAGTTTTTTTATGATGTTTATATGCATGAAACTTGATTTTTTTTTTTTAAGCGTTTCACCCCAAGCAAGGCGGGTTACAGAGAATTGGAGTGAGACCAAATAGAAGTGATAGAAGAAAGGATGAAGAGAAGGATAGGGGATAGATCAAGGCATCTGGAGAAGTCGATTGACATTACATTTGAATAGTTGTAGATTATAGCTATCAGGGAAACAGGAAAATGGGAGGGAGTTCCACAGGTGAGAGGTGCAAGACATGAAGCTATTGGAGTAGAAGAGACAGCTACATTTAACAGTTCGACAGTGAAAGGGTGTGAGATGCTAGCCTAGTAGAATGCTTAAATTCATGAAGTCTGGGAACCATCGAAATCAGCTCATTGGAGCAGTTATCATGAAGTATTTGTAAAAAAAGACAGAGGGAGGCGACGACATGTCTGTGAGAGAGCGACTGCAGATGAGATGCCAGATCAGGGCCAATTACATTGCATATCTGTTTCTGGATCTTATCAAGAACCTTGAGATAAACAGAAGGGGCACTGGACCATATATGGCAGCAATACACCATGCAAGGGTGAATGGTTGATTTGTAGATTTGAAGGATTGACTCTGGCGAGAAAAATTTCCTGATGCAGCACAGGGAGCCAAATTTCCTTGCGGTGGACGAAACTATTGACTCAATGTATTTGTTCCATCTCAGGTCAGCAGTCAGTGTGAGGCCAAGTAGTTGCAAAGAGGAACTCTCTAGAAGTTGAGCATCAGACATTCTAATTGGCAGCAGGGATGGTTCTCTGTGATGAGTAATAGAGAGCAGTTTTGTTTTTGAGGTGTTAAAGTTAACCAGCCAATTCCTGCCCCAGTTTACAACTGATTGGAGGTTCTTTTCAAGATGAACGGCCAGGTTAGTTTTGTCAACAACACTAGATTTGTTTTTGAGGCAGGAGTAAATTGTAGTGTCGTCCACGTAGATGCCTACTTGGGAATCTATGATGTCAGGAAGATCGTTGATGAAGATAAGGAACAGAGTAGGGCCTAGGATAGAGCCTTGGGGAACACCTGCGTTCGTGGGATAGGAGCTGGAGGAGAATCCATTGAGAACAACCTTCAATACACAGTTTTCACAGGAATGATTGTATTAAGTCAAACAATGGACCTGAAATTAATTCCATAACCCTGAAGCTTGCGAAGAAGGCCGGCATGCCAAACCTTATCAAATGCTTTGGAGATATCTAGAGCCATGGCATGAGCTTCTCCATTATTATGAAGGGCTTGGTAAACAATTTCAGTGATGGCAATAAGCACATCAGCTGTAGAACAGACAAAGCAGAAACCATATTGCTTGTTGGATAGCAGATCATGGGATGTAAGGTGCTTAACCACTTCGGCGTTGATTAAAGCTTTGAAAACTTTGCCAAAGAGGGTTAGGAGACTGATAGGATGGTAATTAGAAGGGTCAGAAGGGTCACCAGAGTTCTTAAAGACAGGAACAATGGATGAGGACTTTCAACAGTCTGGAAAACAAGTAGTTATACTATTTGAACAGGGCAGGGGCCAGTTCAGGTGCACATTTCTTCAGGACAATAGCTGGTATCCCGTCTCCACCACTAGCCTTGTGGGGGTCTAAATTAGAGATAATGCCCAATACCGATGATGGAGTAATGTGCAGCTCACTCAATACAGCCTCAGTTCTAAGGGGGAAATCGGGTGTGGATACACCGGAAGAGTCGAGCGTTGAATTTGTGTTGAATAAAATAAAATTTCACACTGCACCAGAATTTCAGTTAATTAAATTTTAAATGCACATTTACTGAGAGAGAGTTTTTATAAAAAAATTAATTTTATTTTTACTTGTTCATTTTTAATTTCTTAAAATTGGAAATTAATATATATGAAATTATTTTGGAGTCAAAAAGCTAAAAGAAAAAAAAGAATATGAAGCTTTTTAAATTTCCTTTTATCAACTTTATTCTATTTTTATGTGCTATGTTAAAATGAATCTGATGAAATAAAATTATCTTACAAACTGAGTTTGTTTACATTATGTTTGATTGGTTTGTAAAATCTATATAAAGCAAGCCATATAAAATGTACAGTGTCAGATATATGCTAATCATTTTCTGTAATGCCTGAAATCCAAGTCCATATTATATCTCTCTTATATTAAAATTAATATAAGAGTATGGAAAATATAGGCAGTGTCATTTGTACATTTCAACAATTTAAATTCTGTGAAAACATCTACAGTTTTTCTATAAAAGGTTTAGGCTTTTTTATTGAGAGAGTAATTAGGAAAATTGATATAATCTGTCAACAATATTGAGTGTTAATCTTGTAATACATATTTGAGTATTGCTTAAAACAAAAACAAAAACCAAAAAATTAAAAAATTGTTATTATAATTTTATGACATGTGAATATCACAGGCTTTAACAGGTATAGAAAAGTATATTCCAATGTAAAAATAAAATATTCTTTCTTTTATCTGATTATGCAGTAACTGGACCTGCTAGTTGACAAACTAGAATTAAATTCTATACATTTTGAACAATGCAACATTACCTGAATGAGATAATATTTGTAATTATATTTATGATTGGATACTGTCTAAGATTAATTGGCTTTAGCGTCTCAGCATTAGAAACCTTTAGTTATGTATTTTAATTGTTGAGTTCTTAAGTTTAAAAATATGAACTCAGTAAGTGCTATTAAACTAGAAATTCTTACCAAAGAGATATTTCCAGTAAATTTAGATTTTTCCATTTTTGCTTTGGATCTCTTTTTAGGCTGTGGGCTCTCATAGTCAGTATCAAGTGTGTATTTTGGAGTTTTCTTTTTAATTTCTTTTTCAAATTTATAACTGTCTTCTGGGGAAACTTGAGGTTGTTTGGCTTCTAGCTTTTTCTTTCCGTTGCATGACTGGAGCTGTGGAGCAGAATGTACTGAATTTTGATAATGGATAGGCTTTTGTTTCTTTTTTGTTGGAGTTGATAACTTATGACATGTTGCTGCAGGTGGAAAATTCTCTTCAATACTGCTTCCGCTATCAAAATCATAAGGATCATAACCTTTTTTCTTTTCATAAACATTGGCAGTAGCATAATCTCTTTTCAAAGGAAGACTGAGGCTTCTCCTTTTTGCTGGTGATACTTTGAATAATTTTTCTGTTGGGCTGGAAAGTATTTTACTTGAATTTTTGTTTTCTTTCCCACCTATTGATGGTTTTGCTGAATCAAGGCTTTTACTGCGATTGGTCAATAGTTGATGTTTTTGTGATGGGGCTAATGTTTCGTCTTTTTTGACAGGGGAAAAAGCCAAGTAGTTGGATTGTTCCTTACTGGAGATGGTGATAAAAAGAGTTGGATCATTAGACAGAGCAGAGACAGGTCCTAATTTTATGGCCTGGTAAAGCACTTCATTGTTATTTGCTTTTTGTTCATTTGGAATTTTCTCTTTCATTTGAGATGCATCTTTTAACTGTTGTTTTTCCATATTAGTAACAATAGAAGGAGACTTAAGGAGAACTTTTGAATTCTTATTTGGCAATGGGTCATTTTCTGCAAAATATTGGTCTGTTTTATTTCCATTGCTTTGATCACATTGAGTAGTTTCTTTGTTGGTTCTAACTGATTGAATTTTGTTGTGATTTTCTGATGGGCTAACAGCAAATGGAGTTGCATTAGATGCTTCAGAAATATTTTGACATGAAGCTTTGACAAATTCCTCAATTCTTTCATCTAGTTCCTTAGCTAAATTTTTTTGCCCTTCTTTGTTGAATTTAGATAAATTATCCTGTGTAATAGGAGCATAGCATGAGGCTTGACTTTGTGTTTTAAGAGGTGATACTTCATGGCTTGGAAACTGATAGCAGGATTCTTCTATTGTATTAGAAATGGATTTGCTGCTTATGTTTTGGTTATTATCCTTGTTTTGTTTAGGATCCAGTGTTTTTAGTGGTTTTCCTGTATCAGTGTTAATTTTGCCATGATGAAATGAATTTATCTTTGAGAGAGATTTTTTTTCAGATGAGGACTGACCTGAAAATAATGATAAAAGCTGTTAAGAGACAACAAAAGAGATGACATACGAGACAAAGTTATTTTCCAACTTCAACTACATTATATTAAGATCTTTTTAAAATTAATTCTTAGAATATTTGCCAACTGAAAAATAGAATTTTCTTGCCTGAATGTTTATATGAAAGAAAATGTCCATACTCATCTATCTCTATAAAACAACACATATATTTGTATATTTTTTGTCTGTAACTTTAGGTACTGATCATGGCGTTCTATATTAATAGGCCTTTGCGCTACCTTGATAGACTGGAGGCCTTCTGACAATTAGATCGTTTTAGTTTCAGTTTGAGTTGAGCGAACTGCTGCGTACTGTGTACTCTGTTGTTGGCTCGAGAAATTCAAAGGAATCTTTTAATTTTACCTTTGGTTGGAATATCATTTAACTTATTTATTTGAAGTAAGTATATTTGAGTTTGAGTCCATACATTATTTATAAATTGTAAAAAGTAAACTTTGGTGCTTAAATTTACTCACACAAAAAGATTTAAGTTTAAAAAGCCTTAACATTTTTAAATTAAAGTTTAATTCATTTTTGGCATTTTCCCTCTTAAAGTTTGTTCAACATTTTTTGATTAAAGTTTAAAGAATTATTTATTGATAAAATGCAATTCTTTTTGAGTAATTTGTGTTATTTAAGAAGCAAAACAAAACAACGTTTAACAAATTTGAACAAAATTTAATTTAGTTTCTTCAAAGACATAAAGAAAACTATTTTTATTATAAAATGAATTAAAAATGTTTTTTTTTCATAAATTCAATGCCATTACTTAATTTGATATTTATTTTTGATATCGCTAAAAAAAACATTGTTAGTATGAGTGAACTGAAAACATAACGTCAACGAAATTAAAGTTTAATTTTCTCAAGTTTTTAAACCATGATAAAAAATTAGCATAAGTCAACATTTTTCTATTAAAAGTTTAAGTTTGAATAATAAATTTGAATAAAATTTTAATAGAGAAAGACTCATTAACATTTCTCTCTAAAACTATCCAACATTTCCATAAAAGTAAAAAAAAAAAACAAAAACAAACGAATTTCTTTGCGCTTTTGTTTCCGAAGTTAAAGAATAAATGATTATTTTACTACATTAGTTACCAATTGGTGAACTGTATGTATTTTTTTACTTATTAGAATTAAAGAAAAAAAATAACAATAATAAATTTATTACATGCAGTTAATGTCAATATTTTAATTATTTTTTTTTTTTTTTTTAGAAAGGTCTCCTTTTTTACGCCTTTTGACTACAAAATTTATTTTACAAGACAAGTATAATAATACCATTTTATTTATCATTTATTTTAATATTTTTCTGATATTGTTGTTAAAGTACAAAATGCATTATTTTTACTTTACTTTTAATTGTTTTGCTTTAAGGTAAAAAAAAAGTTATTCCTATTTATATAGTTTAAAAGCGTATTAAAATAACCAAACTAAAGGAAAGGCTACTTATGAATGTTTTTAAATTTAATATAAAGTTTTAAAGTAAACAACATTGGCCTTCAAATTTTGATACCACATAAAAGTTAATGGAAAAATACGTCCAAAAAATCCACCATCTGTATGGCCAGCTGTGCCAAGTAGTGAAATACCAACACCCTCAGCTGTTCAAAGGAATATAAAAAAACCTCCAGTACTGTTAGAAATCAAATTGCTGATGAACTTAATGCTTTTTTAGAATTAAAATTGTACAAATTTGTAAGAAAGTCTGCTTAACAACAAAATATCAAAATCTATTGATGGTATTCCTCTCTTTATGTTGAAAATTTATAACAATTTGCGCTTTGAAACATTTCATTATGGTGTTAAGTGTTACATTAGCAGCCTGTCCAAAAATCATATAAATACAGTTGATACTTGGTCAAAACTGGAAGAAATCATCCGATATTTAAATTCTATGGCTTTTGATCACAAGAAAAATATCCTGAGTCAACAATTTTTAGCAATGGCTCCCAAAATGGTTGGAATAAAATACAGCTCAGATATAGTTGTGCATGCTTTTGGGTACTATGCAAGGTCACGGACATTGTATAATGAATTAAGATATGATTTTCAATTACCCTCATTAGCAACATTATGAAGGATGACGTCAAAAGTTTCAAAACTTAATGAAAAATCTTTTTTGTTATCTATATTTAATACTCTTAATACCAGTCAAAAAGGGTGCATAATTCTCCATAATGAAGTATATATCAAAAAGATGTTGCTACATCATGGCAAACAACTATTTAAATCAGGTAAATCAGTTGACAATCCATCTGTACTTGCTCAAACAGTACTTGGTATAATGTTCATATATCTCAATAGGGGTCCAAATTTTCTTACAAAATTGATTCCAATTTCAAAATTAACATCTGCCTTTTTATTTGAACAAATTGAGTTAACAGTCCAAGCCATCACATCTGTACCAGCTGATGTAAAGGCTATTATATGTGATGGCAACCGCGTAAATCAAGCTTTTTTTAAATTATATCCTACACTTGCTGAAAAACCTTGGTTAACTGAAGATAATAAACATTTGCTTTTTGATTATTTTCATCTGTTGAAAAATATTCGCAATTTGTGGCAGACAGAAAAAACAGGAGAACTAATCTTTGATGATGATGGAGTAAGTCAAGTTGCAAAATGGACACATCTTAAACAGTTATATCGTTTTGAATCTGAAAGACTAGTCAAACTTTCAGATTTAAATGAAATTTCCATTGCTCCAAAGCCAATAGAAAGACAACGGGTTTCTACTTGCCTCAGAGTGTTTTCTGAAAAAACATATAATGCACTTCTCACTCAGTCTGAAATAAGTGCAGGTAAGAATGATACTGCCCTCCTCATAAACAAGGTTTTGACATGGTGGAAAATTTTAAATATTAAATGCCTTCAAATTAATAAATTACATAATGATCCTCTACAAGCTGAAATCAAATCTCCAAATGACACCTGATTTGATTTTATCATTGAATTTGGTAAAATGGCTCTTAATATGGCTGGCAGTCAAGGTAATCGTAAAAAACAATTATCCCAAAACATTGCTACTGCCATACATCATATTTGCAATGGAATTGTTAGTCTATGTCGACACCTTTTAGCTACAAGTCATAAATATGTACTACTTGGGCAATTTTCAACTGATCCATTAGAAAAAGAATTTAGTAAACTTCGCCAAGGATCAGGTGGCACCTATTTTATAAATGTTCAACAATGTATTGAAAAGCTGCATATTAAGCAGACATCTTTACTTTTAAATCAAAATGTAAATATTGATGAATTTGATGTTAATCCAGGTCACCAATGTACATCTTGTGATTATAAACTTTGTAAGGAAGGTTCAGAAATATTTGACAATCTGGAAAATTTAGAACCATCTTTTTCCAATGAAATAAAAATGGCTCTTGTGTACATAGATGGATATATTACAAGAAATGATAATCAACCCAGTGAATGTGAAACCCATTTTTATTATGAAAAGTATGGAAAATATACCAATTTAATTGACCGTGGAAAACTAAAAGTTCTTTCTGACCACACTTGTTAATGATTTTTTTGTTTCATCCTTTTCCATACAATAAAGGAAAAGGTTTGCTATAAATCATTAAGTAACATTTTTATGCTTATTTCTGAGTTTCATTTTTTCAACATGGAGTAAAAGCATGCTTCTATTTTAGTTTTGAAAAATTTTTTGCAAACATGGCACACGTAGATCAGAAAAAAAACCAGCTCTAAAAGTTTTGAAACTTTCCTAGAATGATTTTGTTTTATTTGTCTATATTTCTGCGATGATTGATTGTTATATACACACTTCGGCTGATGTCTTCCAGCCTTCTTGGGTTCTGTTTGTCAAACCCAGTAACTGTAACGTAACTTTAAATCAAAGTCTTTATTCACTCACAGGGAATAGATTGAATAAAGGATTCAATGACACCTGTAAATAATATAAATTTCTGATTTAATATATCTTTTACCAGAAATCATAATTACCCCTTTGTGTTGTTTAATAATTATCAGTGTTCATAGCAAAAATACATATTTTCATTTATTTATCTTTCAACACATCCTATTATCCTCAGGTGTGAATAAAAATGTTATTCTAAGTATTTCATAAAGACTTCATTTTCTTCTAAAATTTCTGAAAATCCTACATTTTTCAATAGGCCTCCAGTTCTGGCTCTCGGTTGCGCCATGACTTGGCCTGGAGTATAGAATGCCATGGTACTGATATATCCACAATGCCAGTGTTTTTTCTACTTGAGCAGTATGTTAAAGTTAACTTGCAAATGCTAAATTAGACATATGCATACACATATCAAACTGATCCTAGCCATATGTAATTAATCCTGTCATTTGTTACATATACTATTTACATAGTCTGTCTATATTTCTGAGATGAGGTATTATTTACATTATTCGGACTATTGTCCTCATCTTTGTTGTTATATTTATCACAACCTTTCAGCTGTTGTAAAAAATTGCAATATGAGCACTGGTAAAAATGGTTGCTGAAGACATTAGGTTTATAATACCCAGAAATTCATACCCAGATGTCCTCAAGGACACATGGCACAGTGGATAAAGGTGTTGGTTAGATCCAGTGACAGGACCCAAAGAGTGTGAGTTCAATACCCGGTTAAGGCAGTGGAGAAATTTCAGAGGGAAATTAACAGGAGATAACTGATAACTGACATGTGGAACCAGTGAGTGAAATAAAGGGTTCAGTTCGACATTCCAACCACCTGAAGAAGGCCGGAGTGTACAACTTTTTACGGAGCGTACATCACTTTTGATGGCATAGATAAGCTACAATATTTAAAAATAGTAAAGAAAAAAAAGTGCTGATGCAATTATTCTAATAATGTTATACTTTTTGACATTCTAGAAAATAATTATGTAATAATGATACAAATTAAAATATAATTTTATATGAAAAGTTTCATAAAAGCAAATATTTAGCTTGAGGATTTGTGTTATATAAATGAAGATTTTGGTGCTTGTTATACATACATTTACTGTACACTTATCTACATGCCAGCTGCTGTAAAATAAAATGCTGAGTGTTTAGTTAATGCTACCCTTCATTTATATAAAATGCAAAACAATCAACATACGCATGCTCACATGCTGCTGAATTCAATTCAGTGTTCTACTCTAATATAAAAAGAAATATGACACAAAAATAGCAGTGGTGGTTTGTTTTATGCCCCACCCTCATCTGCCACTACTCCATGGCACTACCAAAGATTATACTTGTAAGAAAACAACACAAACAAGCAATTGTTATTGTATAATCAATTTCAATCCCTATCATTCTCTTATTGCAACCTAGAAATATTTTAAAGTGCAATTTAACCTTGGGAATTAATTCTCTCAGCAGTGATTAGGATAACAAAAATATGGATGCTTTTTGATAGTTTATCCCTTGGATTTTCTATGCTGTATTATTTTATATCAATTTAAGGAGACATATGTATAGTTCACATTATTATACTTTTAATTTCTTTTTTGATAAAATAAATTAATAATCATGTACAGTTTTCATTTAATTTTTCTCTAGATATGCCTAAACACACCCACCTTATTCAAAAAACAAAATAAATTTGATATATTTTACTATAACTGCTAAAGTATCAGTATATTACTCTGCTGCACTAATGACCATTACAAAGGACAAAGATGATTGGAGAGATAAGCATGAACATTAAAAGAAGGATTTATTTACTATTATTTGTGTTCACTATTTTTATCATTGGGTTTGTTTAACTGACACTTCATTAACATGTCTGATTTATTCTAAAGTATTTATCTTTCTCAATAAAATACAGCAGAAAGTTTGTTTGGAATACTGTTACATCATCAGAAAAATTGAAATAGCCATTTGACATAAAAGTGACTGAAAAAGTTACTTCATATAATTTTCATGTAAAGTAAAAAGAAAAAAGAAAAAGATAATAACAATTTTAAAAGGGGCTAGAAGTAGCTGAATAATCTATGATTATGAACTTAAAAAAAAAAAATTTCTTTTTTTGTAGTGAAATGGGTCATCCAACACTAAATAGAATTTCATTTGTTTCAATCAATTTAACATTGCTAGTTATAAATCAAGAGACAAAACTGCTAAGAGAATGTAGTTTGGGAAACATTTTTACAGTGATTGAATAACAACTCAGATATAAAAATATAAATAACTATTTCAATTTTTAAAAATTAAATAAATTAAACTTCACAGTTTTTTTTTATCATTGTTATATAAAGCTTTATATAACTGCAATTAAGCTATACAATATTAGATACTTTCACTTATAAAGTTTGAAGAATAATATTTTTGCTCAAGTAATTTTTTTAAGAAATGTGTCCAAAGATATTAAAGAAACTTTCCAGAAATTCTGAATTATGTTCAGAAATTGTTGTTAATGAAAACCTAATTGATTAAATATGGAATAGAACAAATTTAGCATGAAGCCACATTTGGAGAAATCTTTGTAAATATCAAACTTTATGTATGACTTGAAAACACTTCCTGTAATACTATGAAGAGGTAATCTAGTTTAAGAAAAGAAAAATATTTTAAACATGTCATTTACGTTTTGCACATAAACATCTCTCTATATATAAAGCCAGTGTTCATTTCTTTGTAATGCACAAAATTTGTCACACTATATTTTTGTTCATATCTAAAAGTGTAGATCAGATATACTGTTTATATTTTGCATTTATAACCCCAAAATATATTTTCATATAATATATAAATTACAAAAATAAAATGAAATATCTCAACTTGAAATTGATTGTTACAACACTAGAAATTAAAATTTAGACGGATTAAGTTGTTTTTTTTCTTTATTGACACAAAAACATTTGGAAAATATTCACCATTTATTTGATTCCTTCCTTAATATTCCTTGATTTATTATCCATTCAAAATGCACATATTATAATATAGGATATTTATTATAATATTTTCTATTGAACATAACATTGATGTAAAATGAATGCAGTCTTTTATAAAAACAATGAAATTATTTTTAACTCACATATTGCTTGTTTGGTAGAATAGAAATTTCTTTGAGGTTGAGAACATCTTTTTTTCTGTTGAAAAGAAAATTATTACAAAATATTAAAGTTGAATAATGGTTACATTGGACTAATGAAATTTTTCAGAATTTTAAATTAATCTTAGTTTTTTATTTTAATTAAATAAACATTTGAATGTAACAAAAAACAACTGAATTATGTATAACTAAAAAGTTGAGTTTTATACATTTTCATACAATTGTTGTTGCAAAAGATGTGCGAAAAAACGGGGAAAAAAAAAACATCTTGTGACACAAAAACGAACATCTACTTGCGAACCTGAAACGAACGCCTTCTCTGCTGAACGAACACTTTACGACAGCAAACGAGCAAAACAGCACCCAAAATTGCCGATGACCGACCGCAACGGCTTTTGTCGCCCAAGAAAAGACACCAAACGCCTCGTACGTCTTCTTTTTGTAGTCTTTGGTCGAGTCCATTATGGTACTCCAAGGTGTGCCTGGTGACAACACACACATGCAGTTCGAGGATGCTTCCGCGCATGCTCGTTACACTCCTCCCTGATCTCTAGATCACATAAATGGCAATGTCGGGCAGGCCGTTTCTGCCTGGTGCTCCGTCTCAGTGGTATGGTCTCAAGCGCTTCCTCAGTGGTGCTCTCGCCAGACGTCTCACTGAGCTCATTCCACATAGGTTCATCAGGTGCGCTACTCTCTGAGGGGTGCTCTTCCTGTGATTTTATATATACCATCGAGTCTTCATCATCATCATCAGAAGAAGAACTAATGTGGTTGCTGATGGAATAATCCTTCCCACACGCTAGACGCACATCTTTTATGTGGCACGGTATTCCATCAACAGAGATGGAGTGTGGACTATTAAATTGTGTCAATGTACCCTTGCTGAACTGTGTTGTACACCTTCTGTGCGGATTTATCACCCAGACTAAAATAGCTTGTGCGAGAAAACGGGGAAAAAAAACCCACTTCTTGCAACACAAAAACGAACACCTATTTGCGAACCTGAAACGAATGCCTTCTCTTCTGAGCGACCACTTTATGACAGCAAACGAGCAAAACGGCACCCAAGACTGCTGCCAATGGATGACCAACCGCAACGGCTTTTGTCGCCCAAGAAAAGACACCAAACGGCTTGCACGTCTTCTTGTAGTCCTCGGTCGAGTTCATTATGGTACTCCAATGTGTGCCCAGCAACAACACACACATGCAGTTCGAGGGCGCTCCTGCGCATGCTCATTACAAAAGAAAAGTAGCCATACTGTTAACAAAGCCTTTATCAGGCAATAATTCTGTTATTGAGCATGATTTTGAGCCTAAAAATCATTTCCTCTAATATCAGATGACTCTGCAATACTCCAGGCTTTGTTAGTTCTCCATCAAAACATGAGAATGACAGATCCATGTAATCTTTTTTTAATTTGGAACTCCTGAAAAAAAATTTCCTCCTTATTGCAGACTTAACAAGATTAACCAGGTATGACAAAGTTGAATGCACAATAAAACCTTGATTTTTCAAATTTATAGGAAATAGACTTTTGTCCAACCATGTAAAATTTGGATTCTATATCTCATAATACCTCTTCCAGGAAGAGGGAAGCCTGATTAGGAGTCTTGGGCACTGCTTTGTGATACTCGCTATCTTATCAACATTTACTTTTTTCTGCCTACATTTATATATGTTACAAATTAAACTAAGCACAACTGACTTAAAGGATTAAAATTTTTTTGTATTTTCATGTCATTCTGGGGTCTTATTTTCATCCAAATCTGTGAATTTGTTTTTCTCATGTTAAGTCTCTATAATGTTGAATGTATTAAATTGTTCAACTTTTTAACAAGAAAAATCTCAAGCTGATGTTAAAAATTGTCACAAACAATTGTTGATTTATTTAAAATGATCTATTATGACCTGTCTCTAATTTGTATTTAGATACATTGTATTTATTTTTAATTTTTCTACTTGAATTATTCACCTATATTACATACGATCCATTATTGTGCATAATTAGGTTACAATAAAATTTGTATTTTATATGAATACTACTTTATGAAAATTGAATTGTAGTAGAGTAGATAAATTTGAGGTGGGGGTACAAGATCCTTGCACCGACTCTATATAATACTGATTATTTATTAACTTCATTAGCTTTTGAAGACGGGTAATGTTATTGCAAAGTTTGTATGTTACAATATTTGGATAACATTTGTAGAATTAGTTTTACTGTTTAGAATTGGCAACCAAGAATTTTTTTCATAAAAAGTGAGATTATGAAAAACAATGCCAATTACTGAATATGTTAATGACTTTTAAGTTAGATGAAACAGATTAAAACTGATAATGTGATTTTTTGCTATATAAAAATTTACTGACAAAGCTTAGCTTAGAATCTTGTATTTAAAGATTCAGATGAGCTCCAGAAATCCAGGTATCTAGAAAATGATCTTTAACAGTGCTTCAGATGAAATAGAAAATATTTATGGTGTTTTTTCTTAGATACTTGAATATGCTGTTGTGAACCTATCTGTAAAATCTACTTTTGTCATATGACTTCCATTTTTCAAAGAGTGAATTATATCATTTTTCTTTTTGTATAAAATCTAAGATTATGTTCGTTTTTAAATGATTTATCATGAAGCTTTGTTTTTATTCTATATAATAATGTGAAAACGTCTGTGTGTATCACACTATTTCAATTAAAGGGACACAACTTTCTAACTTTTTAAATATCTCATCTTCAAATGAGACTTGCTCAACCAGGATTGGAATTGAATCCTTGGATTGCAAATTTAGCTCTCTGTAAAATTGAAGACAAAGTGATGAACTTGGCTCAAAGAAATCTCAGCATTTTTGGCCTGCCAAGTCCAAACAGAGAAATTTTGAGAGAAACAGGATACAACAATGAAGAACTGTGGCAATGTGTTCAAAACAATGAGCCCCTGTTGAACCAAGACCAACAGCAAGTGTATCAGAAGATCCTTGATGACATCAGCAACAACAATGGAGGAATTTTTTTCTTGATACACCTGGAGGTACTTGTAAAACTTTTGTAAGTAACCTTCTTTTATACCTGCAGTGAGACTCCAAAGAGAAGTAGCTCTAGCAATAGCATCATCTGGAATTGCTGCTACCCCCTTGCCTGGAGGGTGTACAGCACACAGCACACTCCAAACTTCCATTGGATTTGAACTACAATGAAACCCCTATTTGCAACATCAAAAGAGGAAACAACTTAGCTAAGCTAGTAGAGAAGACAAGCTTTATTGTCTGGGATGAATGTACCATGGCACACAAGCAAGCATTTGAGGCTCTGGACAAAACACTCAAAGACATTAGACAGAATTCACAAATGAGAGGTATCATTGTGCTACTCTCTGGTGATTTTAGATAAGCATTACCAGTCATTGCAAGAGGAACTCCAGCTGATGAAATCAATGCTTGTCTGAAAAATTCTTACATCTGGAGCCATGTTCAAAGAGCCTGAAAACAAACATGAGAGTTAGAATCACAGGTGACCTTGAAGCAGGAAGATTTGCTGCTTTGCCGTTGCAGCTTGGCAATGGAACCATCAAAATGGACCAAAATGGAGATATTTCACTTCCAAATGGTTGTGGAGTTTCAGTCTCAACTATCCAAGACTTGATTAATCCTCTTTATCTAAACATTAAACACCATTTCAAGGATTCAAACTGGCTTTGTGAGAGGGTTATATTAACTCCCAAGAATCAAACTGTGGATAGCATCAACTGGAAACTCCCAAAAGAAAGCATGAAGTACTTTTCCACTGACACTGTGGTTGAAGAAGAGCAGGCAGTGAATTATCCAATAGAGTTCCTGAACTCATTGAATCCTCCCAGAATGCCATCACACAAGCTGGAACTAAAAGAAAATGTGCCAGTTATGCTGTTGAGAAGTCTAGATCCTCCAAAGCTTTGTAATAGAACAAGGTTAACTGTTAAGAAGATGCTTCCTCATCTCTTAGAAGCAGAGATCCTTACTGCTCCAGGAAAGGAGGAAAGAGTTTTAATTCCAAGAATCCCCTTAATTCCTCCAGATCTTCCTTTTGAGTTCAAAAGACTTCAGTTTCCAGTGAGAGTGACCTATGCAATGTCAATCAATAAGTCTCAAGGACAATCATTGAAAGTAACTGATCTTCATCTGATCAAACTGATTTTCTCATGGCCAGCTCTATGTTGGTTGTTCAAGATTTGGGAATGGAAACAAGCTATTTGTATTGACCCCAAATGGCGAAAACTAAAGTTGTTTATCATGCAGCTTTGCAATAAGTTCCAAATATACAAATTATATCATTGTTTTGATGAAAACTGTTGTTTGAAAAACATTGTTCAAGTTTAATAAAATTTAATATGTACTCAAAACATGAAGTATCATTGTTGGGCTGAAGGTCCAATCAAGAGCCTTCTGCCAGAGCTAGCTTAAATGTTAGTCGATAGGGTGACTTTTAAGCTAGTTCAATATATTTGTGCTATAATAAATAGTAATAACAAATTTCTGACAATGAGAAATTGTTTATTAAAAAATTGCAGGAAGAAAAGATATCTGATACAAAAAGATCTTTCAATCAGAGTAAATGTTTCCTATGAAGTTTTAAAAGTTTGCTTTTAATCTGTTTATTTTAATTATTTTAACAACTGTTGTTGGATTACTGACCCCACCCCCCGCTCTCCTGACAATAATCACAGGTGAAAGGCTCTTCTTTGAGATCCAGAGTAGCAAAACATGTTCCTTTCACTCTGATAGAAACATGGCATGTAAGTACTTCAGAGACACAGAATGAAGATTTAATTAACTGTTCATAACTTCAACTTCATTTCTTTATCATTCTGTAACATGTTTTGTTAATATATTTATTATTTGTTTTTGTTTGAATTTATTTTATCTGGTCTTACAAGAGCCTACCATATACTATCTGCAGGACAAATGTACCAAGAGACAAAAAAAAAATGATAATACCTTCCATTCCTGTAACAAAAGTGGTGATGCCTGACATGATATTCTCCTCTCTCTCTCTCTATATATATATATATATATATATTACACATACACATAAAAAAAACAAAATTAAATCAAACAGCAAATACATCTTACAGAAGAATAAAGAAAGAAATAAAGTTGAAATTATGAACAGTTCACTACAATCTTCAGTCTGTGTCTCTGAAATATTTACATGATTTTTCTTTATTGTAGCAAAAGGGAACATGTCTTGCCGCTCTGAATGTCAAAGGCAAAAGAGGAAAAGCCTTTCAAATATTGTGCAGCCTGTGATTATGGCCAATACTGTAAACATTTTTTTTTTACAAAGTTAAAAGCTTGGAAGAAGCTGTAGATAGAAAATGAACTCAAATGAATAAAATGTATTGATAAAAATTGTAATACTTTTATAATCTAGATGCCTTACTTCACAAATTTAAGCAATGATGTAATGTGTCAGTTGGAATGAGAGAATATATGAAAATACCAGATTGTAGATTTTTAGATTTAACCTGACTTTGGACACCCTTGCTACTGTCTGTTATATTAACATAGTAATGTTATAATTTCACTTCATTTACTATTCTCCTTTAAGTCCTTTAAACAAGAGAACTCAGTAACTCATTTTGCCTAAAGTACACATTAAGAAACATATTAATCAGAATAATTTATTATTTTTTACATTTAGTTTTATATGGGTAGAAACTTCACTGACACTGTTCTATATCACATGTAATTTATTTTAAAAATTGGGATCAGTTGTAACCTTAAGATAAGAACATATATTCTTGTTATTACCTAGAATAGGAATGTTCATTGAAGTAGTGGTTTCTATTATAGAATGATATTTAACTATCATAAACGAATACCTAGTTTGATTTTCCTAAGTCTACTTACCAGTGTAGTAGAAGGCAATTCATTCATACAGGCAGGTGAATTATTGCTGGATGATATGCCACTGTCAACAGCCAGTGTCTTCCTGGAAAATATTGAAATCAAAACATATGTAAAAACAACAGTTTTGTATAAATCACTAATATCCACTTTCATTCACAAATGAGTAAACAATTGGCTAACATCAATTGGAACAGGTACAGAATCTATTTATCTCTTATTTTGCTGCACTTAATTCTAAGTCAGTAATAGCAAATATATGGATGTTTATTGTACCAGCTGTTACACATTTGGTCTTTATAATATATTACAAAAATAGAGAAATACAAAGGATTTAATGTTGCCTTAATTTATTGCAACAAAAGTTTATACTTGTTGAAGGTGAATCCTTTTATTTGCAATCAAAGTAAATGTTTTTCTGCTTTAGCTAAAAGCTATATATATATATATATATATATATATATATATATATATAAACTTTTTAGCTAAACTGCCCAAATAAAATCTCATTACAATTTAATGTACTTTTAAGTTACCTTAAGAGTTTTTTTTTTAAACTTCTGTTTAAATTTGTACACATGTACTAAAGTATAAATATTAAAAGTATATGTAATTTTACATGTAAAGTAAATATAATTATATAAAGTAATAATAACTATAGTGTATACAAAAAAGATATTAATTAATATTTGTATGGCCTGGAATTATAAAAATAAAAAATATTTAGTAAAAGTATAACAAAGAGCAAATAACTAATGGTTAAGTTTTTATTCCAAAAACTTTAACAACTAAACAAAGTAAATTAAAAAAACAGAAATTGTGAATCTGATTATATTTCAAAATGCATATACAATAAAACAAATGGCTATTACTTCTGTAAGTATTACAATAAATAAATACACAGACAAAATAACTGTTCTATTCCTTAACATTTCTTTATAACATAGTTGAAGTATTATAGAAAAATATTTTTGAGAAATATGTATATAATATACATGTAATAAATATTTAAATAAAAAATAGTCTGATGAAGTGTATTGATATGTTTACTTTGCACCCATCATAAAAACAAACCAAAAAATAAATCCATTCAAGTCTACATATCAAGAAGCTTGATTTAGAGAAATCACTATATTTTCAATTTTTAGACATAAATTAGAATATAAATGAAAAAAAAAAAAAAAAAATGAAATGAATATATAAGTATAAAATTGTGTCAAACATCTTCATTATGTCATAAAACTGACTAATTTTTTATGTATTTTCCCTTATAAATATGAAAAGAAAGTAATTTCCATTCATAATATTTTGTGGATAATATGAATAAACATTAAAATATTAATAAAATCAACTATGATTCTTCTAATTGATTAAGCATCTCACTTCACATGGCTTTCTTTCAGATAAACAATATGGCTTTTCTTTCTCTATGACAACCACTGATGTGTTAATGGTTATTAGTGAATTTGTCTATCAAGCTTTAGTTATGAATGGTGAGGTTTTGGTTGTGTTTTTAGATATTGCAAAGGTGTTTGACAGGGTTTGGCATGTTGGCCTTCTTCATGGGTTCAAGGGCTATGGTGTCCATGGCCAAATATTTGATTTAATCTGATTGTTTTTAAATTGTGTAATGAAAGTTGTATTAAATGACCATGCTTCTAGATCCTCTCAATGTGGGAGTCCCCAAGGTTCTATTCTTGAACCTACATTGTTTATCTTCATCAACAATCTTCCCAATGTCATCAGTTATCAACTTGATATTTATGCTGATGATAACTATTTACTCCTGTCTTAATAGTAAGTCTGATAAAATAAAACAAGCAACTGCTCTCAAAAATGATTCCAACCAGTTGTTAAGTGGGGGCAAGAAATGGCTTGTAAATTGTAATACCTCCAAAACAAAACTGCTATCTTTTAATCATCATAGGGAATAATTTTTGCCTTCTTTCAGAATGACTGATGCTAACCTCTAGGAGAGCAGCTCATTGTGCCTTTCTGGGCTCACATTTACCACTGACATGAAGTGGAGTCATCAGTTGCTAGGTCTGCTGCTAGGAATGTTGGTTCATTGTGTCATGCCAGACAAACTTTCTTGCTAGAATTCATCTTGCACATTTATAAATCTACCATTTGTACATGCATTGAATATTTCTTTTATATCTGGTTTGGTGCTCCTGCCATATATCTCAAGATAATCCAAAGAAGTGTCTGTAATGTAATCAATCCTGACCTAGCATCACAACTTCAGTCATTTTTCCATCACCATACCATGGCTTCTCTATAAATATTTTTATGTCAATTGTTTTGATGAACACCCTACTCTGGTACTTCAACCACATGAATTTAAGTGCAGTACTAGATTGGCAACTAGGTCTCATCATTTTACTGTTGAAATAGCTAGATGTAACTAAGTTCTATTCTAATAGTTTCATTTCTCAGATTTCTTGCCTGTGGAACTCTTCTGTTTTCTTGCTTCCCTGCCATCTATTATTTTCAAAAATTTAAAAGCAATGTCAATTGCCATCTTTTGTTTCTGTTCTTTTATTGCCCTTTCTCTTCACTAAATTCTCCTTTTTCTCTTTCATTCTCAGTAACTGCTGGCCTCTTGCCTTGTTTGGAGTGAAATGATATAGAAAAAAATGCTCACATTAATAAAAGCAAGTCAGGACAGTTAGTATAATATACTTAATTGAAGTTAGACCTGGTTTTTCCTTACATAATATATTCAATTAAATCTTCAGTTTGTAAAAGGTAGATTGTTTATTAATTTTGAACAACAGAAGCACTGCAATTTTCACAATGAAGTTTGTAAATATGAATATAATTTATTTATGTTGCTTAAAAAAAAAAAAATTGCTCATTAGACTTCTTAAGAAAGATTTTGCAATGAGAATAGAATCCATATACTAATATTCATAATCATTTTTTTATTATTATATACATATATATGACTGTAACTTTTTACTAATGTAGCCAAAAAGAAAATAGATGAGAAAACTTACTTGGATAAAGATTTTGTTGGACCAGTTAGTTTAGGTTGGTCTTCTGGTTTGTTTCTGTTGTTTTGTATGGGAAGTGAGTCTGGAATGAGTGTAACCTCATCAGCTTTTGTTGATTCTGTATAGAAAAAAAAAAAACAAAAGAAAAATAGAGAACATTTTAAAAATATTTTATATATTTAATATAAAATCAAAAAGTTTTCCTACAGTTGAAAAAAGGAACAGAAAAAAAAAACAATTTTAAATTGATTTGCATGAAAATGCCTTATATATACTATAGATGTTACAAGTAGTTGATTGATTACAAAAGAAAAAGTCACTCCAAATTGAGATGAAATCAGGTTTCTTTGCACAACTGTTTTGGTACTTGTGGTGGAATTGTATACCTTTCACTTAAGTTACCTCTTCACTGATATAAAGTATTGTAGCAAGTATAATAAAGTTCAGGTGATATTTTTCTTTGTATTGGGTTGGTGGACTTCATAACATCAATCCTTGGTGGATTATTTAATTTTTCAATCTGTTTTTTTATTATGTTTGCATCTATAGGTAAATGTTGATTGGATTTATGCTTAAATCTACATGCAAACATTAGTTGTTCATACCCAGTCTGTAAGTAAACTCTGATCGCTTACACCAAAGTTCATAAGAATTCACTTGGTAGATAGATAACCCCTTTTGAGGTTATGTAGGGGCTTACCCCTCTGCAGGGGATGTGGTCAGCATATACTAGGCCTTACTGACTGGGCAATTTTTTGGATTGGTAAAAATTTTTTGGATTGGTAAAATATTATTAATCTTTGAAAACAATGAAAACAGAAATGGAACTGTTCTTTTGTTAGCTCTTATAAGCCAAGAGATTAGCCAGTGGAAATTATTATTTTGTGTATCCTAATTTGAGAAGTTCTCTTATTCTAACAGAAAATCCATCTTATGCACAGGATTTTAAGTTAATTCTTGTAGAAGGCCATAATGGTGCCTTTGGCTTTAATAAGGTATCATCATAGATTTAAACTATGGATTTATTGAATCATACCTTATTTGTAAATCATTGTCATCATGAATTCTTGAATCCCATTTAAGTATTTGTCAGGGGATTTCATAAAAGTACTTAATTGATCCTATATTTATCCATCCAACTTTTTATTGCAGCAATAGACACATGTATAATATTAAAGTAAGTTTCCAACAGGACTTACATGGCCTCATGTATCTATTGCGTATACTACAAAAGTAAGTATAGTAAGACTTTTTAGTTTTGACTTTTTGATGATTGTAAAAATGCATAGGAAAAAGTCATGAACAAAGGTTATAATGTCGGAGTTACCTCCTCCTACGATCCTTAAACCGGCAGAGGAACATTTCATCTCGACCTTGACCTCTCGTTTGTGCTGCCTATACACTGTTAACCCGTGGGAGAGACTAGCAAGTTCCCTTTTTAGTTAAGTTATATTACAAACCTAGTTGTGATATTCCTCTAGATATTTTTAGGCAATAGTTCCCTTTAGCTAACCTCGTCGTATTTTATTATAGAGACTTAACTGTTAGCTTCTCCAATTCACTTGCTGGTCTCCCTTACCACAAGTCAGTGGCTTCTAACTAAATTCACGGCAAGTCGTCCGGCTTGTGGCTAGGTGCCTGGAAGGGGGTCGATCTTCTGGGGCCCTTCGGTTGGACGGACGGTCCTGTCCGCATTCTTGGAGTGTGGTTTGGACCTGACCTCCAGCTGGAGAAGAATTGGTCTGAAGTACGAGCAAAGGTCGACGCCGGTGGTCAGACTTGGCGTCGACAGAGGTTGTCCGTGAAGGGCAGGGTGGAGGTGTGTGCTACATATATTTTCCCTCTTGTCCTTTATCGATTGTCCGTACTTCCTCTCTGTGACAACCACAGGAAGCCACTCAAGCGCTCGCTAACCTCTATTCTATGGAGAAGATGCGGGAATCGGGTCGACAGAGAAGTCTGTGCACAGCATCTGTGTCATGGGGGGCTGGGAATGCCACACTTGCTGAGCCACAAACGTGCCTCGAGGTTGGCTTTCCTACGCTGCGCATTGACAGGTGATTTGGTCATGGCGGGGATTGTTAGGGATGCGTTCCCTTCCCTTACTATCAATCCCCCCATCTCGCGGGCTGAGCGCCATTGTAAGCCCCGGGAGGAATCGGATTTCATTCGCGAGTGTCGGTTAGCCTTGCTGGCCGTCCCTCAGTCCAGTGACCTTTCTCGGCCTAGGAAGGACTTCTATCATTTGCTAGTGGAGGGGGTCGCAAAGGATCCCCTACGCAAGGATCTCGACATTTCGGAGGATGAGTTTCGCTCTCACTGGTCTTGGGCGCCAGCGGCGGATTACCTCAGTAACCCTGAGTTTTCGCTTACCTGGTGACTGGCTCGGAATCAGCTGCCTCTCAATGACAGGGCCTTCATATGGGCCTTGGCGGACTTGCCAGACTGCGAATTGAATGGCCTTGGTCTAGAGGAAATGGCTTCGCATGCCTTCTACCATTGCCCCTGGGTCCGCCCCTTATGGGACCATGTCGGCGAGCTGATGGCTCGTCTCGCTCCCAAAAAGCTTGTACCCATGGATCGCGCATACGCGTGTGACAATGTGTCGCCCCCGTATTCCGGGGTGAAACGGATGGTGTTTCTCGCGTTGCTAGCCACGGCCCGAATGGTGATATGGACAACGCGAGAGGAGGAAGTCTTGCGGGGTATCCGTCTTTCTCATCAGGATCTGATCCGATTCTTTGAGCATCAGCTCAAGATGAAGATTAGAACAGATAGAAAACGCTTACATTCGACAGTCTTTATACTTCTCCATGCCCGTATGATTTTTTATCACCTTTCCCACTCCCTTAGCGAGAGAGCTGCTTGATTTTGTTCCAATGGGTAGAATACAGTGGTCTCCCTGCCTTTTGAGGGTTGGATGGGCCCTACTAACATCAGTTAATGTTTAATTTCATTTATGTTAATATTTTAGTTCGTTATTGGGTTCATCTCCCCCCCCCCATCATTTTTTCATCTTAGAATTTTGTACATATGTGTTAGGATCATTAAATTATTATGACTCGGGGCGCGTTTTGTAGGTCTCCCTAGAGTGGATGTGGTATTATGGTGCATGGAGGATTGATTGGTGACGGACGAGTTCTTATGGTGAATGAGTAAATTGTAATGTCTGAATGGGTCGTGAATCAAATTAGCTAGGTATAAGATAGTTAGTGAAAACCAGCCTTTTACCCCCCACCCCTTTTCGTCCTTGTGCCACAATTTTGTATTTTTACAAAATAAATCCCGGTCGGCGACTTCCGCTTTCGCGGATTTCGCCCAGTTTTGACAAATAAGGATCGTTTCTCGATCAGTTTGGACTGGCTTCGGCCTGGACTAGCTAAGACAAGCCATGACCAGCACTGACTAGGCTCTGACCAGCTTGGACATGTTAAGACCAGTTTTGGACCTTTTGGCCCTTTGAGTGGAAACACTCGGGTCTCTCACGTTAAACCGACCTTGTGTCACATCCTGACCCTGTAGGAATCGGGTAAATACCTCAGCGACTGAAACGGTCGGATACGCAGACCCCTGGCCTTCGTTGGCCAGGAACGTCGATCAACGGGCTGCGTATTAAGTTACGCTCCCATTTTTTTTTCCTGCTCCTTGGCCTTGTTCGACGCTAGGCATTCTGTCCCTACTGGCTGCCTGCACGTCGTCCTTAACCTTTCCCGTACACTATGTTAGTAATTATTATGGGAGGTTACTAATATCGGACTCGACTGGCAAACACGCAATGCCTGCACTGGACCTGTGACATGCCCGAACAACGCCAGCTCCTCTTTCCTTCCCAACACGTCAAGTTGGCATCCTGGCAGAGACCAACATCAACTGCAACAACCAACAGCGATCATCCCGGCAACGATCAACTTCAACAACCAACAGCGATGATCCTGCCAACAACCAACATCAACTTCAACAACCAACAGCGATCATCCCGGCAACGACCAACATCAACTTCTACTACAGCGATCACCTGCAAAGACCAGCAGCAACCACCTGCATGACCAGCAGTGATCATCTGTAATGCGGCAACGACCAACATCAACTTTAACTACAGCGATCAATCTCTGCAGCGACCCCCTGTATGACCAACAGCGATCACCTGTAACGACCAACCTTGACCATCAATGCCTGCACTAGAACTTCTGCACCTCTTGTTCCGACCACCTTATTTTCTTTTCTAGAATAAATCAGCATATATCATACATATCCTCGTTCTGTCATCTATATTATTTCACTGTCAGATTTAATGTCTTCAAAAATATTAGCAGGCCTCTTGTGCGCTCATTCACCCTTGTGTGATACGGGGGCGCTCGGGGTCTGCTACAATAACTCTGGTTTCTGACACAGAAAATTTCAGCTGAATCTTTACTTTATATAGTTAGACAAAAAGATAAAAATTTGGTTTAGTTAACATGATGGGCAGAATCCAGTTTAGTATGGTACTAACAATGTAAATTGAATCTCTCACTAAAATCTGTATTTTGTAATTTTCACAAACTAATATGCTAAAAATTTTCTCTGGAGGTCTCATTAATAACATCCTTAAATTATGCAATGACAAGCAGATGAGAAAATCAGTTTAAAACATTTTAAGTATTTTATGCCATTGTCTTTATTACTGTTCTTATTAATCTTATTTACAAGTTACCTGGTTGTGTTTCTTTAATACAAACAACCTTGTCTTCTTCCATGTGTTTAGTTATGATATTGTGTGTGCTGGTATTCTTTTTCTTAGATGAATTTATCTTTTTGGAGGTATCTGTAGAAGATTTAACATCTGAAACAAAAGTTTATTGATAATATTGAACTTTGGAGAGAAGTTACTAAAAGATATTAATTAATAAGTAGAAATAATTATATATTTATTGATGTATCCATACATGAAAGGATACTGAAAAGTTCTCAGCCTGACTAACAAGGGAATAAAAATAATTCTGATGTTTGGTCAGACTCTGGAAAGTGGATCAAGCTGAGAACTTTTCAGCACCCCTCATACTTGTTTAACAAAGATCAAAATGTACACATGATACAGGTACAAAATATCAGAGCAAAAGCAGGATTTTGTGTAGAGAGAGAGAGAGAAAGAGGCAGAACAAAATAAGTTGGTAAATAAGTTCAGAGGAAAATGTGATAAGAATTATGCAGATTTTGATGTATGCAGTTTACATTCATTTGAATAAACTATTTTTTAAAACTTTTTCATGCCAAATTCTAACATGTAAATGCTAAATGAAACAGGGTAGCAATGGGTTTATCAGATGTTTTTAATGTATAATTTTGATTATAAATTTGAAGTTTCAGATACACTTAATATTGTATAAATGTATAACACTCGTCTTTAATAACACACACATTATATATATATATATATATATATATATATATATATATATATATATATATATAAAAGAATATTTAAAAACCTTAGATGTATTTTTTAAAATTAAACAGTGTTAACATGACTGGCTACAATAAAAACTGATTTTCATAAGTAATTATTTAGTAATATTTACCATAGTATGAATAAAAACTTTTCCTAGTATTGTGAATTTCCATATTAAAAATATTTTAAGTAGTATTTTAATTTTAAAAAAAATGAAAATCTTAAATCTAATTAGTTATAAGAAAATGTTCAAAGCCCTCTAACAACTGCCAATATGGTTTAACTTATTGCAAACTACTGGAAAAGCACCACAGAATTAATTTTCAAATTAAAAGTTAAGATAATCAAATATTATGCCACCATCTTTTTATTTCTCCAATTACTGGATCATTTCAGAAAACATTTGCAAAGTTTAACTTCTACAGTTTTTTTAGGTGGGGGACAGAGGGAGGTATACTCTAAACCCTCTGAGTACAATGCATTGCCAAGTATTTGATATTGAAAAAACTGATAAAGTTCAAATAATGCCTACATAAATAACATTAAGATTCTAGAAAATTACAGACAAAATGAAGTTGTGAATGCAATAAATTTTGTGTTACATGATCAGCATCTTCACTAAAGAAAAAAAATTAAACTTTCCTTGATTTTGCTGCTAATCCTGTTTAATGAAATACACATATCAAAATTTGAACTAGTATTGACTGTTATTTACAGAGTTCATTAGTCTTTGTTATTAATGCTAACAATATTAGTATTTTTCTTTAATACTGACTCTAGTAAGGTCGAGTTTGTGTGAAGGGAAGATCACAAGAGGCAATGAATCCTGCCTGTCAGCTGGGTTTTGTGCAAGCTGATAGCAGTGGGTCTGTAATAGTGTGAGGTGTGTTCTGTTGGAGTTTACAAGAAACACTAGTGGAACTAGAGTCTGATGTAATATAGACAGATTTTGTTGTAAACTGTTTGTACATCTTTATGACCATTTTTCCAGGTAGTGATGTCTTATTTTCCAGTAAAATATTGCAACTCCATGTGAGAGTGACATGAAACTGATTTCAAGAATACTCAACTCATTTCTCAGTACTTCATTGGCATTGGCTACCTGAACTTGCCAGATTTAAATTCAGTTGAGTATGTTTGGGACATAAACACAACTCTGTTAGACAGCCCTAGAATGAATCTGGATAGATATCCCCATGCAATGATTCTACCACCTTGTAGACTGTGTTATGTCATATAATTGCCATTATACAGGTGAAGAAAGGAGAGTGTATAATTTTTTGGCACTTCAGTATATTGGGGGACAGTTTGCTATTGATATAATTATAAGGCTTCATTCATATATACCATGATGTGCCAGGTAATTGAGAACAATATAAAGAAAAACAAAGATATTCAACAGAAAAGAATCAATATATTTAAAACAAAATATGTACATATATTCAAGTTAGAAAAACAAAAAACAGTTTTGAGGTTGGCCTCACTGCAACGTTGGAAACAAGTGCATGTCCAGATCAGGTGGTTCTCCTTCATGTTAGCCATCATGTCCATGATGGATGGTGGCCTTCAATGTGTCTTTAGTATTGTGGGTCTACTGGTTACTCTCTTTCTTGATGACACTCTAGAAGTAGTTGGGCAAGGGGTTGAAGTCAAGAGAATCAGATCATATGTTTGAGGGTGACAAGATTATAAAAATTCCTGTGTTGCTGTTCCTGGACGATGTGGAAAGACACAGAATTCTGTTTAAACATGTACAATCTGTATGTATGATGTTTATGTGTAATTATCTCTCTATATATTCATTCACATACATTAGTGTATATAGACAATCATATATGCATACCTTTTGGAAGTGGATAATTCTGAGGTAGTAGATCAAGTGCCTCAAATGATCCGAGTCTTCTGCCTTTTCGAGATGTTGTAGTTTTTGTCTCTAAAGAAAAACAAAAATAATGTATCTGTGAAGGCTATGAATGCATTAATGAAGTATAAATTACTAGCAAAAATACAAACAAAATGTCATATACTGAATTCTGACTTTGTTGGTCTATATACAATTACATTTTTATTAAGGAAAGATACTTTGATGAACTAATCAGGCTCTTAACTATGACAAGACTAGTTCTTGCCTTCTTTTGGTTCTTGTTCATCGGTGTCTTTTGTACATTTACAGAATTACAGCTAATTTTTCTTTCTCAAGAAAACTTCTGCCATGTTTCTTCAAATATACATTTAGTTAACCAAATTTTTTTTGTAATGAAAATTTTGAAAGTGGTTTTGTCAAAGAAATACTAATGAGTGGTAATATTTCAAATCAATTTTTGGAATTTGACACAAACTGAAAATTACAAGAGTCATTCAAAGTAGAATTAATATATTAGCACAACATTCAAAAGTGCTTTATCACTTATATCAGAGTTATTAAAACTGTTGTAACAATGTGATAGAATGACTATATATGAGAGACAATAAGAAAGAAATATAATCATAACAGCTATTTGCTGTTTACTAGTATAGGTAAAATTTCTTCAACTGATTTATTTCTACATCTTTTCATCATTATTTTGTTTTTATGATAAGAAGCTCTTAGAATTAGAAATGGAAAGCATTTCAAAGTAGCAGTTTTTAAAACCAATTAAATAGATGCTTAGAATTCCTGGTGTATTCAAATTGCATCAGGCAATGCTACAAATGCATGAGGCCAATTTCTTTTCAATTTCTGGTTATTAAAGTTATCTTGGCTTATTAAATATTTTTGGTGTTGCTAATGTTCCTATTGATAGAATCTTATGATTTGAAGGAAATTTGCAGCAACAGTGTTTCACCTGTTAGTAAATGGATTATTACCATTGAAAATATTTTACATTTTTTTTTAAAGTAATTTTAAAAGCTTATGCATTTTCTTATTTGATATACAATAGTGTATATTTATAACAGTTTTAGCATGAAGTTACTATGAAGAATTTAATTATTAAATTCTTTTTATAAATTCATGAATTAAAAAGTGATATAATTTAAAAGTCTAATTAACCTGATTATAAATAGTAACAAATTGCATGAATTTTTCTTTGTTATTTTATAGAAGGTTTGAAATAGAAAAGTTCTGCATAAAACAAAACAAGAAGAAATTTATATGCATAAGATAAAATGTACATTTTTTTATTTAATGTGCAACTAAAAATGCTCTTTGTGGTATCTGTTATAAAATAACAGTTATATGATTTTGCTAGTATACTGAAAGTGTCAGGAGAGTCTGAACTTTTGAAAATAAAATTATTGATTCAAAATCTCTGAATATACAAATCTTCATTTTAGAGGTTGATACAATTTGTTTTCATTGCAATTTTAAAACTATTTAACCTCTAAATATGAAAATCAAAACCACGTAAAAAATTAAGTAATTAGTTGGATCTTCAAAACAGATTCTCAAAGATTAGATTTAGTAAACCCTTACCATAGTTGTTTATTTTTGATGAGATATTTTTATCTGAATTGGTCTTTTTAGTGGATAGAGAATGAGATACAAAGCTCATCTCTGTTTTGGGAACAGAACAAGATTCTTTATCTGTTACAGCACATTCATTGTTTGAACTGGTGGTATGCTTTGTTGAGGGAACCAAACTTTCTGAGAGCTTCTTCAAGTCATTTGGCCCAGCACTTATAGAAACTTTTTCAAATTCATTTTTATTAGGAAATTTTTCCTCTTTTTCTTGTGGAGCAGTGTTTGAATTTTGTAGTGACTTATTTTTATCTTTTTTTGTCAGGTTTTCATTCACAATGTCACACTTTTTTTTTTCAACTGGAGACAGTTTCTTGGACTTGGTTTGATTTGAATTTTCCTCCACAACGTCATACTTTTGTTTTTCAACTGGAGATGATTTCTCGGACCGAGTTTGATTTGAATTTTCATGTGGACTAATATTAAAATAAGTGTTATTAGAATCCTTTGTAACAGACTGAATTTTATTCTGCTTGTAACTTGAAGTTTTGGAAGCATAAATTGATGAACTGGTTGTTGTTTTGTTTTGTATTGAACTTCGAAAAGGTGATTTAATCTCAAAAGTTGGAGGGATAGGATCATTTATTTCTTCCTCTGCACTGCTATAGATAAACACATTTATGTTGCTTTCAGAGTGAGCTTGTTTTCTAATTTGTAAAGTTTGGCATTTTTCATTGTTTGTGATATTTAGCTTTTTTAATTCCTCCAGATTTGATAAGCAAGGAACATATGCACTTTCAAATTTTGTGAGGTCTGAATTTTTATTTTTGGCTTCTTTGAATTTATTGTGAGTTTGACCTGCAGTTATCATAAAAGGTGAAGATACAGGTTCTTGCTTTTGTTCTTTTTTATCATGTTTCTGTGAAATATTTTCTGAAAAAATAATTAGAAAGTAGTTGTTAGAAAAATACTTGAAATGGATTAAAACATTATTTTTATAGACAATTTAAATTTTTTATATTCACATAGTAGGTACTGGCATATTTAGCTATAGACAATTATAATAGCCAGCAACTAGAGTATACAAGAAGAGCTTAGTTAATAGATATTATAAAAAGGACACATGGCACAGTGGATAAAGGCATGGGTTAGGTCCAGTGACAGGACCCAAAGAGTTGTGAGTTCAATACTTGGTTAAGGCAGTGGAGAACTTGGAGAGGTGAATCAACAGGAGATAACTGATAACTGACATCCATTAGACATGGCACGTGGAACTAGAACAGTCTACTCCAGTGAGAAAAATAAAGGGTTCAGTTTGACATTCCAACCACCTGAAGAAGGCCAGAGTGTACAACGGCTGAAATGTTGTGATAAATATGGCAAAGATGAGGACAATAGTCTGAATAATGTAAATAGTGTATATAATACCTCATCTCAGAAATATAGTCAGATACTTAGAGAAGGCATTGTGAATTTTATAGATACATTTTATTTTTTATAGGCTAAACATTCCTCTAAAGTCTAGTTTGCCTTTTTTTGTATTATTTAAGCAATTGAACTTTTGATAGTTGTAAAAAATTGATATATAATAAAAATGCAATAAACAGCTTGCAAAATTAAAAATTCATGTAAAAAAAAAATATAAAGAAATAAAAACAAAAAAAACACACTGTATATTTTTTTTTGCTTTTGTTTCACTGCTTCATTGTTAACTTTCGCTCCGGGTATCTGGGTAGAAGCAGTTTTTTTAAGAATTTGGGCATGATTTAAAGTCTCTGGGCTTGGAAACTGCTGACAGATCCTAATAGCGCTAACTTCACAATATCTGCCATCAGTTGAGTGCTGGCTGGACATAATTTCTGAAGGAACAGAACTTTTTCTCACACTTCTTGATGCACTTTGATGGCTGGACACCGTAGATTGAGCTGTATCCTAGAAAGAGCAGAATTCAGAAATTTATATTAAAAGAAAAAAATAGAGCATATATAGAAAAAATTGGATGAATTCTTTACTGGTTTAAAAAAAAGTTGAGATATATAATAACTGTAAAACCTAAAATTATATAAAAAAATATGTAGCTAACAATACAAAGATTAAAGTCAAAACTTCTTTTAATATAAAAATTAGTTTCAAAAGAAGTCCACCAAAAGTTGACACTGCCAAAATTTAAATAGCATAAATTTGAATATACAAACTAATGTTGTGTCCATAAAAAATAAAAATTAAATATAGTATCAAAAAATAATTATAATAAAATAATTATAACAATTATAATTAATTCATTCATTCTTAACCAATGAGAATCGAGCCCACTTTTCTCCACTAAACGCACAAACATGCGTCATTCTATCGGACAAGCAGTTCACACAGACATGTTGTTAACACATGTGTTAATGAAAATTTTATCTCATTTTTTTTTTTCAGGTCATAATAGTAATATTTATTTTTTAGCACTCAACAAAAATTTGAGGTAAGAAAACTCCAGACTATTTATCCAACTAAATTATCTGCACACTCATTACACACATCTATAAAAAACATACAAGAAAAACTGTATACACTTTGCTTATTCTTTATCTTATCCTTCTGTTGGATTTTGATTCCAATCCATATTTGATATACATCTGCACCCAAACTCACAATTGTACTCAGTATTACTATCTCTTGTTTTTCCAACAACATGTAACAACCAGATAATAAATAATACTAATTTTGTTGTTTCCACATTTTGCTGTTTCTCATTTTTACAAGTATTTTTTGTATATATGAATGTAAGGGGGTTCATAATTATTTACTCAGAGTTATAATTCCCCTTCACTAACTTTGCAAAAATGTAATTAATTGTCCAATCACAGACCAGGAATTAAGTTTGAAATTGTCATACATTTGCAGTTCATTTTTGTTATCATATTTGGCCAAATTTTTTCATAGGAAACGAGGTATTCGAGTTGAGCAAAAACACAGTCGAACGGTCTATGATAATTGGGACAGACTTTTGTCTCCTCATGATTATGCATACAACTATACACACTTTAACTTGTAAGTACTTTTATCTCAGTCATTGCATGCTCATACACATGAACTAAAAATATTTAGAAAACATTTTACCTTTGGAACTTTGCTATCATGATGTACCATAAACTGTTCTTATATCAATTTATCACTAATCAAGTATATCTTCAATATGCAGTTTCTTTACAGCAAATATTTCTTCATAAAAGAAAAGAATATGCAAGAAGCATTTTTATTATCAGTTCATAATTTATCGATTATTTGTTGCATGTCAAACAAGTTTCATTATTCCTTTTCAAACAATTAGCTGAAATTAATGTTTTCTTTGCTTTTTCTTCATTGTGCTTGTTAACTACAGTCTCATTTCTATAGCAACCATACCCTTACCTTCAAATGCACTAACATAATTGCTACTATTACTAAAAACTTATTCAAGGTCAGGACAATTGTTAAGGAGCATAGAATAAAATTGAATCCAGGATTTGGAATAAATGAATTGATCACCAGTTCGCAACAAATAGAAACAAGATTTGTTAACAGATATTCCAGTCATTGTATTTGAGTTCTTTAAATATTATTAATTACATCATATTTATCATTTCTTGCCTTAATAATAAATAAATAGATAAAAAACAAATGAAGACAGACTAGTGCAGAGACTAGTGCAAAGATTTCCTATAACAATCCATACTTTAAAAAACAATCTGCTTAAATGAAATAAAACTGATTGATACAAAGATCTTTTCATGGCCATTGGTTTGCTGATTAGTGATGAGACTTCAGGAGCTAAATGAAAAAATACTGATATAGAATGATGAATAAAACATACAATCTACTTTTGATATTATTTTTCTTTATAAGTTGGTATTTTTATTTTAGATGAGTTGTGGTAAGTGAACAATTTATAAGGTTAAAAATAGGAAAATGCCTTTTCCTGTAATTAATATACATGATGAATTAATAGGATCTTCAATGTGATCTAGCTAACTTAAGACCATTATACTACTGTCTGCTAAGATTAAAATCAAATTTTTCTTTCAACTAAATTACAGAAACAAACTTTGCAGTCATCAGTAATTAATCACTTCAAAAGTTCAGATGCTGTATGTAAAATTGATTCTGTACTGACCTGTAGTTTTTTAAGAAAAGAAAACTCATTTAAAACTCAAAGATATTTTCCCTGAGTACAAATCTACAAGTAAATTACATAATAATTTGATACTAGCTGCATCTGTGAAAATTCCACAGTTTTTATAACACTGATTTTTAGATTGAATTATGAACATAAGTACTGTTTACTTGCCGTCAGCATTGACATCAGAAATAAATCACTTATGCATGTTTCTATGCACATTTAATTACTCATGTGAAAATACTTTTGACAGGGAATTCTTAAAACATAAAGTGGAAGAGAGGAGGAGTCTGAAAGATAGACTTACTTATCTCAAAATATTTACGATAGTTAACACTTCTAAATATCATTTTCCATATATATTCAATAAAATACACTCATTTTATACTATACAGGTAAATTTTCTAATGAAGTCTGTGGGAATTGCTAATAAAATTTCAATTAGTCATAAACATGCATGTACATATAAATTATTTTTTCAATACTATAGTTTAGCCAAATTCAGGGAAAACATTTTCAACTACCACAATGCATCTTCATTTGTGTCCCTGGTGAAATGATAAATGTTACACCTGGTAAAGAACATATTTTTTCGGAATGCAAGGGCAAACTTAATTGACAATATTTTTAAATGAATAAATTATAAATAAAATTAAATAATAAAAAAGAAATTGAAATGTATAATTAAAATTTAGAAAAATAAAAATCAATTACAATTAAACTTAAATACCGAATTGAGTAAAAAAAAGCTTTAAAAAACAATTCTTTATGAAAAGTTTAACGTAAATTTTGATTTTCATCAGAATTGGAATATCAGTATAGCAATTTACCTTGCTCCTTATTTAGTTAAAGTCTAATTAAAACTTATCAAAGTTTTAATTAAACTTTGACTAAAATAAGAGGCAAGGTAAATTGCTCAGCAAGACTTACAAACATTTAGACAGATAGGGTTTTCATGTAACCTTTAAGGTCAGACTTTATACAAATAAAAACTTGTAAAACTCAAGGTATGTTTGAAAAAGTAAAGAAACTAAGTAAATACTATATTATTGTGGCAGACATGATGAGACAGAACCTGGGACGAGCACAACTGGTTTTGACTTGCCTTGTCCCCGCCAAAAAAGAGCCTGTATTTGCTTAGCATGTAAAGGTACTGCAGTTGAAATGAGGGAGAAAAAAAAGCACTTACCGCTCTGCCGTAATCCGTCCTCGGCCAGATAACGTAAAAGAATGAGGGGAGACTTGCATTGCATTTTTATGCAATAAAGATGCAATGCATTATGGGACAGGGATGCAATGAATTATGGGATCACATGAAGACGCAAGGGATTATGGGTATATGGACAAATATAAAAGCAACTACTTTTTCCCAGTGCGGGGAGTTCTTTGAGTGACGTTCACGTTTGGCGGCTAGAAAAGTCTGTTAGTACGATTTTGAGACAGAACTCAAGGAATGACTCGAGGTTGGAATACCAGCTGGGAGAGCTTGAATTTACTTGCTGGTTGCTGTTTTCTTTTTATTCGCCACACGCTATTTCGGCCTATTGATTCTTTTGACGTCCGTTTGATTCCAGAATTCAGCGGCGCCCCAACAGATATGCCCATTGTTGAATGGATAGAGAATGTGGAATTGGTCTGTGAACTTTGCGCCATGGACAAGATCGAGTGCATCATGCCTCTACAACTACGAGGCGGTGCCCTTGCTGTGTATACACAACTTAGTGGAGAGCAGAGGGCAGACACGGAACAAATTAAACGGGCCCTTATGACTGCATACGCGACTGACAGATTTAATGCGTTTAACCAATTTATGGGACGGCGTCTTCACCCAGGGGAAACGGTGGATGATTTCCTGGCTGTAATGCATCATCTAATAGGAGAACTGCTGCCTGATCGGTGGATGACATGTGCATTTGTGTCAGGGCTGCCACATCATGTTAGGCAGTTTCTCAAAGCTTCGTCCAGGATGGACGACATGAATCTAGAACAGATTCTGACCCGAGCAAGGGCTATTATGACGGATGACGAAGGGTGCCAGGTATTGGCCACTGCATCCGTAGAGCTACCATGCTCAGAAGCTGAGGTTCCCCCTGTCAAACCTGTTAGCAGAACAATTACCTGCTACAAGTGCGCTGGACCCAACCATATGGCGAAGAATTGTACACAAGGATGTCAGGAGAGGTCAACCAGAATGCAGAGGTCTGGCCGCGACATGCGGTGTTTTCGATGCAATGGCATTGGACACATTTCCTCAGAATGCCAGGGAAACGCCCAAGGGGAGAAGCTGGCGCTGACACCTTCTCCCCGAGTAAGTAAAAACCTGGAAGTTACCCACTGTACAAGTATTTGTAAATAGAGTAGAGTGCACAGCTCTAGTAGATTCGGGATGCTCACAGATGCTGGTGAGCAAGGCTGTGTGTCGCTGCTGGAGGCAGGAAGATGTGGGAGTATTGACTGCCGACGAGAGGACCCTGAAGTGCCGTGGATACGGCAAAATTAAGTTGGGCGTCGAGCAGATTCAGCCTGTGACTATTGAGGTTCTGGTCATGGAAGGACAGTTGCTAGGGTTCAATCTTCTTCTCGGGATTGATGTAATCAAAATGCTCGGAGGTGTTCACGTGACCAAATCAGGCGAAGCGCGTTTCGGAAACCTGAACACATGTGCCGCCATTCTTATCAACAAGCCTGACTTTAGGGTAATGTTTAACCTGAGCATGAAAACGTGGACTGCATTGTGGAAGTGGGCGAGTGGTCATTTACCTAGCAAGTTGGTCAATAAAGTACAGGAGTACACAGTACCTGGCCACGTCCAGGATGCATACAATAAAGAACTAGCACGGTGGCAGTGAGATGGATGGCTACTGCCATATCCTGAGAAAAACTTAGCCCGCAAGGGTTAATTCCTTAATGGCGGTTGTACAAAGCGCAAACAGAAGGTCGGCTGGTACTTGACTATCGGAAGTTGAACGACTTTGTAGATGCTTTCACGGCTGATGCAGAGGTGTGTGCGCAGAAATTACGAGAATGGCGAGAACAAGGAGATGACATATCACTGTTGGATCTGTGAAATCGTACCTACAGATCCACATTGACAAATATTTTATCTGCCTTTTTCAAACAGTGGTCATTAAGGGTAAGCGGTTTTTGCCTTTACGCGTTTGGAGTTTTGGCTTGAATGTGGCACCACTTGTCATGAAGTCAGTGATCAAAACGATAACGTCCCAGGATCAGGACATTAAAGGTGCCACGTCGGCATCGTCGGCGATATCTTCATAAATGAAGACCTAGTTTCTGCCTTGTGCGTGAGACAGCACTTTGCAGATTACGGGCTTGTCTGTAAAGATCCGGAGTGATTGAGAGACGGAACTAAGGTCCTGGGTCTGCAAGTCTGGGAAGAAAGCAACTCCCTTTGATGGAAGTGGGGAGGTCAGGTTCCAGAAATTGCTCAAATGGTGACCCGGCGAAGCGTATTTTCCTTGTGCAGGAAACTTGTGGGTCATTTCCCTATGTGCAGTTGGCTTAGGGTGGCAACTGCATTTATTAAGCGTTATGCAAGTACACTAACCAAAGGGTGGGACAACGAGATAAAGGATGCCCCTCTTGGATGTATGCTGGAGGAAACAGTGGCCAGAGTGTGGGAATCAGATCCTGTCGGTGGAGACTGGTGTGTGAACGGCAATGAAATGACAGTTTGGGTGGATGCAAGCTCTGTGGCTACGAGAGTAGCACTAGAGGTGATTGGAAGCATCGTGGAAGATGCTTGCTGGTTACGTCAACTAATGATACCAGACACATTAATCTTGCTGAACTTGATGTGATGATCAAGGGCGTGAATCTTGCCCTGCAGTGGCAGGCACCAGTTATGCATGTGGTCACCGATTCAGCATGTGTGCATCGGTGGGTGTCGAGACCCTGACAGGAAAAGACGGCGTGAATAAGGCGGCCAGGGGTGAAATGCTGATGAGGTGGCGCTTAAAAAACTGCGAGCTTTGGTGGAGGGTACACACTGACTATGACTGTGGCGTTGGTAAATCTTGTCCAGAACGCGCTGACAGCCTCTCACCAGGAGTGCCACAACGCTGGTTAGAGATGCACAAGAAGGAGGAGAACCGGTGCAAGTGAGTTGTGCCACTTCAACGAGCCAGTTGAACAAATGTCAGGTGACCCACATCCACCAGCAGAGTGGGCACCCGGGTGTTAAAAGAACAATGTACTTTGCTAGGACCGTAGATCCAATGGTGTCTAAGGAACTGATAAAATCTGTTGTTAGAACCTGCGAAGCCTGCCAATCGATCGATCCAGCACCAGAGCATTGGAAAAAAGGAAATTTGAATGTGAGAAGAAACTTGAGCAGGTTAGCAATGGACATGACCCATTACAATGGTAGCCATTTTCTTACACTCATTGATTGTGGTCCCTCCCGTTTTGCAGTATGGCGGCCACCGAGATGGCAAGACTCTGCTGGTGTCATTCATCAGCTGGAGACAATCTTCTACAAACGAGGCCCGCCGACTGAAATACTGACTGACAATGACACCACGTTCACTTGCAGACAATTTAAGGAATTTGTAAGCAGCTGGGGCGTGCATTTAAGGTTCCAGTGCACTTATGTGCCGTCTGGAAATGGCATTGTGGAACGCAACCACAGAAGCGTCAAAACCATAGTGGCCAGGAAAAATTGTTGTCTTGGAGGTGGTCTACTGGCATAACGTCACACCCAAGGACAACCTTTCACCTTCCACGGCACCGGCTGATGTACGGCACACATACCACATCCGGGTGAGAGGCATTGACGCGATGCCCCCACCTGAATCACAAATAACCGAAGGGGAGTACAAGAAAGGGGACATTGTCTGGGTTAAGACTCCACGTGGTAAATGCACAACCAAATTTGGAACCGGACGTGTGACCGAGATGTTGAGTCAGCAGTCAGTGCAGGTCGATGGAATGCCTCGTCATGTTACAGACCTGCGCCCTTTTTTGGTCTCAAATCCCACAACTGATGAAGAAGACACAGAGGATAGTGAACAGCCAATATACGTAGAGTTGGATTCAACAACCGATCACTCCGATATCAGTAGTTTGCCAATAGATCGGGACGTGTCTAATGAGAGCTCCTCCGATGTAGAAGCTCAATTAATCCCCCTTCGGAGGAGCACCCGGAACAAAAGACTGTACCCGCACTGTCATCTGTGTGATCAGGAGATCAGGGGGGAGTGTGGCAGACATGATGAGACAGAACCTGGGACGAGCACAACTGGTTTTGACTTGCCTTGTCCCCACCAAAAAAGAGCCTGTATTTGCTTAGCATGTAAAGCTACTGCAGTTGAAATGAGGGAGAAAAAAAGCACTTACCGCTCTGCCGTAATCCGTCCTCGGCCAGATAACGTAAAAGAATGAGGGGAGACTTGCATTGCATTTTTATGCAATAAAGATGCAATGCATTATGGGACAGGGACGCAATGAATTATGGGATCACATGAAGACGCAAGGGATTATGGGTATATGGACAAATATAAAAGCAACTACTTTTTCCCAGTGCGGGGAGTTCTTCAATTGATGTTCTTGTTTGGCGGCTAGAAAAGTCTGTTAGTGCGATTTTGAGACAGAGCTCAAGAAGGAACAACTCGAGGTTGGAATACCAGCTGGAAGAGCTTGAATTTACTTGCTGGTTGCTGTTTTCTTTTTATTCGCCACATTATACTATACTATATACTATACAATGCATAGAAATGGTACGCGGATGTAGGGTCTTAAATAACATTTTTATTAGTGAAATAACCCATTGATTAGGTTAATTCATATCTGTAAAAAGTGTAAAATCGAGAAATGTTGGGTACTTCAGATGTTCAGGAGTTTGCTCTGTTTACTGTAGAAATTTATAGTAAATTGATCCCCCGAGAAGTAGTCAATCTCTAAAATCAGTTTCTAACATTGCTATGGTTACATATTCAATATATTTCATAGTTAGGGGTTCTTAGTAGCCCATAAGACCAGACTTTATATGGAGTAACTCTTAAAAAAGATGTTTCTTTTTAAAGTTTGCACCAAAAATGTACACAAATATTGTAGATTGTATACAAAGAAAGATTATGTAGAATTAAGCCAATGTTTAATTAAATAAAATAAATGAATAAGGCTTAAAAATAAATAATTAAAACCCTAAAATGTTGGCATTTACTTGTTTGTTACCTTTTTGTTTATGGTTTTAACAACTATATACATTTTAATTAGTAAATTTGCAGTGATTAATTGCCCTTTTAATTACATAGACAATAGCACAATAATATTAATCATTTTCCTTGACTAATGCTAAAAGAAAACTAGTGTTTTGAAATTCAGACATTGTGAATACAAAACTTCTCCTATAATTTTATTTTAAATAAAATAATAAATTTGAATGACATCAAGTTAGCTTTGAACTGTATGTATCATGTAAGATTTGTAGCCAGAAAATCTACTGTTGCTTGGAATTATTAGAATAGCAAAAATAGTTTAAAATCTTGTAGAAAAAGGATAATGTAATGGATAAATTTAGGAAGCTTACTTTGTCGAAATCATCTTGTTCAACATCTGCAGAAGGAATGAATGCTTTTGATGGAAATGTTTTTTTGTTTTCCTTTATGCATATTTGGTTCTTTGCAATTGAGCACTTTTGATTCTGGAATAAAACAGAAAAATATCTATATGTATGTTTGAACTGAGTAATTAATACTGTTTGTACAAAGTATCATTTATTTTGTATTCATAAAACACAGTTTTTCCTTTACCACAAACTGGACAATGGGATGTATTTTTGCTTGCTTTTCTGTAGGACTCAGAAATGGATGAATTATGCTGATCATAAATATTTTACCATTTTTAACCTAATCTTCAAAAAATAATTTGTAATTAACTTTTAAAATTTATACTGTCTCTCTTACACTATATATAAACAAACTTTGACAGTTAATTACAAGTAAATTAATGGTAATTGTAATATTAGCTGCTTCCTTATAAGGAAACATTTATCATTCTTTGATCGAGCAGCTAGTGATACCACTGGTTGAAATTGATAAAAATTTTTCAGGAAAATAGGTTTCTCAAATTCACTATTATTGCTCTTTTCAGTATTGATGTGGGATTCCTTGCTAACCTTTTGTTTAAAGTATTAAAGTAGTGTGGTATGTCAACATCTTAATTAGGTCATTATTTTCTCTTTGAGTTACATGTGCTATTTATTTTAGTTATTGCAAGTCCTCAAGTGATGTGGTTTAGCTTTACACACACACAAATTTAATTAAGTGATTTTCAATATATCCTTATTTAATAAGTGGTCTGGATGTGATATATATTTTAAACACATAAATATTGTATGGATGATGTAATGGATAGTGGCTCAGAATGAGAAATCAGAAAGTTGAGTTCACATTCCAGTCAAGTTCATTACATTCACTTACATGTAAATACTTTCTCTTCTCCCCCAGCTATGGGTTAAATAGCACGACAGACTAGGCTCTCTAGCCATGGTTAGCAACCAGTCTAGAAGAAGGACAATTCTGAATTCAAAACTGCTAGATACCTTAAGCAAGATCTCTATTAAGTTTTAGCCAAAGTGCTTAATCAAAACACAACTCATTGAATAAAAGTTGTGCAAAGATCCTGTAAAGGATTATGCAACAATTGCATTTATATTTGGCAAATATTGACAGCTAGACGGAATGAATATATAAAACGTTTTTTTACAAATTATAACAAATACAGTAATTTATTATTTCTTATACACCAATTTTATGTCCAATTTTAAATCTTTATTCAATAATGTATAAGAATGTAAAAATGTAACACATACACAAAATATTTCTTGAATAGCTTTCATAACTGCATCCTTATCTTTAAACGAGATCTTGATGAAAGAAGACTTCTCAAGAGTCAAACCAGGAATCAGTTCTAGTGACAATGGCAAAAATGTGAACTGGACAGTTAAAATGTCATCATCATCTAAAATTATAAGAGAAATGCAAGGTAGATTTATTATAATAAAAGTTATTCCAAAATAAATTATACAGTAATACAGATAATATTTTAGTCACTTGTTTGCAATTTTATATGAATATGGTTACCAGGTACATTGACACCTTGGATTAATAATGCTGTTAGTTGTTTTTGCAAATGCAGTAATATAAACCTCTCATTGGCCTTAAAATTAAATACTGAACTTTTCTTTTTGCATTTGCCAGGACAATACAAAAACAAAAGCAACAATTAAGCATACTGGTTTTTCTCAAATTATTTAATTTGGTCTTTCTGAAGTGAACAGGAAATTGTAACATAATTGGCCTAAAAGCAAGCCAAAAAGAAAAATACTGAGGGTTGAAGAATAAAATAACCAGCATAAAGTACAACTGGGATTTGAACCCATAATTAATCATGATCTAGTAGGAAGGTAGGAACAAAATAAATGGTGGTGTATGTTTTGCATGAGTATGGCTGGATTTTTGCATCATCATTTTTGGGTAATTTAGGATGGTATTCAATCAGTTCTCACCATAGAAAAGTATTGCAAAAATTATCCCAGAATAAGAATATTTCTATCATAGACAAAATAGATGGAATTGTTATTAGTATGGATACCGACAATGAAAAAAAAAAAAAAGATTTCTACTTAATAATAATAGTGTCTATGAAAACAAATAAAAACCTCCACATTTTCTTATGTTACTGAAAATAAGCTATTGCGAAATATTTTTAAATTCTACAGCACAACACTTTAAATTGATAGTTTCAAAAATCTTCAATTAAGCTGAAAAAATCTTGTTCAAGTCACTTTATATAAGTTTAAGGAACTACAAAGCCTAACAGCACACAAGTGTGATATGTGGAAAGATATTATTATTCTTATGATCATACAAGTTCTACTGTAGCAGCCACCATCCAGTTAACAGTGGAGGCAGATCACAGCAGGTGGAAAAAAGGACAGAAGAAAGTTAAGGAGCAAAAGAGAAAGTTTTGAAGATAACTGTGGAATTATTAAGAATGGTAAATAGTAGAAAGAACAATAGTGAGAATAGTAACACTATAATTGTTTTGTAGTTTTCATGAAATTAAAGTACTTATATACTTCTTTTGAGTTATTACTGTAAATTTACATCTTATCAAAGACTTTAAAACAGAAACTTTCAAAATAACTTCAAAATAACCAGAAGATATGGCTTCTCTGTGCTCTAATTTCTTGAAATGAGGTTTCTTCAAAAAGTGTGTAGCATTTGGAAATAGTTTCTTACCATTTGAGAAAATCTCTTGAACATAATCTTTTAAAATGCAAACAGTTTCCCATATGTCTTCATCTGTCTCCTGCTGTAATGATAAATTTAATGTACAAAATATTTATTTAAAAAAGTTAAGAAATTACTATGAGAAAGGACAAAATTAATTACATTTTTGGATAAAAGGAACTAACCAACTATTAAAACAATCATACTGAACATATAGCATGAACATAATTATACAAGGTGCAATGGATAAATTGTCGTCTAAGTTAAACAAAAATGAAAACAACATTGACATGTTATTTTAACAGATTTATTTACCAAAATGACACAAAAATATCTTGAAATGTTAAAGAGTAAATTTATTCAATAAAATCACCATTGATTTCAACCACGACCTCCATACAACTTGCTTTCAGTTCATCTTTGGTGTTACAAGGAATTTTGTAGTGGCTATAGACATCTGTTTCCTCTCTTCCATCAGGTAAGAACTCCCTATTAACAAAACATCTTTCTACTATCAACACACTGATTGGGGCGCATTCAGGATTGATTACATTACACACCCTTCTCCAAGACAAAACTACTTTCATTTAATCATCATAGAGAATTTTTTCTGCTTGTCATCAACATGGCTGATGTTAACTGCAGGGAGAGTGCCTCTTTGGGCTCATGTTTTTCACTGACATGAAGTGGGAGTGATTATATTGAATCAATCTCCATGTCTACTGTTAGTAAAGTTGGTTCACTTTGTCATGCCAGACAATTCTTCTCATCAGAATCCTTCTTGCATATTTAGAAATCTACCATTCGTCTGTGCATTGAATATTGCAGCCATATCTGGTCTGGTGCTCCTACTAATATCTCGAGATACTTGACAAAATTCCGAGAAGGGTGTGTAATGTAATCAATCCTGACTTGACATCTTGACTTCAGTAATTTTCTCACCGATGTGATGTAGCTTTCTTCTGTCTTTTCTACAAATATTTTATGGCAATTGTTCTGACAAGCTTTCCTCCTTTGACCACATGCCACAGGATTGGCAACTAGATTTCACTGTTTTACTGCTTAACTAGTTAGATGCAACTGCATGTTCTCTTCTAATAGTTTCTTTTCTCATACTTCTTGCTTGTGAAAATCCCTTCTGATTTCTTGCTTCCCTGCCATCAACTAGAGTTTTAAAGATATATCTGTAAATATATCAACTGTAAAGTTAAAATGTTCTTTAATACTTTAACTCCTTTTTGATTTCTTGCTTCTCTTGCACCTACAATTTTCAAAAATTTAATTGCAACACTAATCATCATCTGTTCTTTTATTGTCCTTTCTCCTCATTAAATTCTTCTTTCTCCTTCAGTCTCAGTAACTCCATGTATCCTAGTGGCATTATTGCCTTGTTTGGGGTGAAAGGATTTTAAAAAAAAACTAAAAAACCTATAGATTAATGTAAATACATCTAATATAGTTTACACTAGATAATACATAATTTTAAATAAAATGTAGGGATTAATAAGTATATGAAATTTGCAGTTATATTGATTTTGAGTATGTTGACAAACTGCATATTAGACAGAGTCATTTAATTAAACCAAATTTGATGTTAATAATAATAATAAATGTATTATAACAATAAAATAAAGTAATATGTTTTTGTTGTTTTATTTTTTGTAAATATGCATTTAAAGAGAAATTCTTATTTGACTGTAACTGGATCCCATCAACAAGAATTTGATGGAAAGAGATATCTGTAAGCATATCAACTGTAAAGTTAAAATGTTCTTTAATACTTTAAAATGATTAGAAGTGACTCTAGTACATATTTTCAGAAAATATTTTTAAGTGAATACTTTGATCCCATTTTTTGTGCTCTATGAAAAATTAATATAAAATATCCTAGTAATTCTCAAATATTATTAGAAAATGTACTAAAAAACATTTTAATGAGGATTAATACACATAAGTGCCCTGAAATAGTTGAAATATAAGAAAATGATTTAATATCAAACAAATATGTTTACAAAATAGTTCTAAATTAAACTGTACATATTTGTTTAAGATTTGACAAATTATTTATTGAATGGTGTAAAAAGGTTAATGCGATAACTAAAAAATTGTGAAATAAAAATCTCTAATAAGGAAAGCATAAAAATATTTAGCAGTTAAATAGATCTTTTCTGTGGAGTATATTAAACCCATTAGTGCCCATTATAAAATTCGGTATTAATTATAGGTTTCTAAAAAGTCAGTATTAATTATTGCTTTATTAAAGAATCTGGTATTAATTATTGCTTTTTCCTTATAACCAATTAATTCCCACCATCCCAAAAATGGGAAAGGGGACATTAATGGGTAAAATATGAATGCAGTTAAAGACCCTACCAATTAATGGGTTGTAATAAAACAATACAAATATAAAAGTTAAAGCAGAAAGATTTTAATGGAGTAGTCAAATTTCAGGTGGTAAATATGCCAACATCTGTGTTAAGTAATGAACTCAAAGGAATTAAAGAATTTACCAAAAATGTTATAAGGATTAGAGTATATAAATTGCATGAAAGTGTTGAAAATTAATGAAATGGAATAAAAATTAATATATTTTCAAAAGATTTCTAAAATAAAAGCTTAAATATGAATAACACAGAATAACATTTGTCAGAACTTACAGGATCTTCATTATCAACAATTTGACTGCAGTAGAATGAAATACGCTTGCTAGTTGTATTGAAGTCAATCCAGAATTCTTTGTAGTTGTCATCTTTGGGTTTGTGAAGCTAACAAAACAAATTATGAAATGTAAATTGATAAAAACACTTCCAATAATATTCTAATTGTTTTAGTCATCCATTCCTTTTTTCATTCCTCTTCAGTATTTTACCAAATCAATTGAGAAAGTTCCTCTGCATAACTCATGTTCTGAAAACAAATTCTTCATTTGAGGCATCATGACATGCCTAAATTGTTAAGAAAAAGATATCTTGAAACTTCAGTACCTGAATTTTAAGGTTATAAAAAGCTATTATTTTAATTTTTGTTTCATTCCATAAATGATCAGGGAAATTGGTTAAGTTTTACACCGATGTTTCTTCTTTAAATATATTTTTATTTGTATATATTTCTAAGATGAGGTATTATGTACATTATTTAAATTATTTGGACTATTGTCTTCATCTTTGTCGCTATATTTATTACAACATTTTGGCTGTTGTATGGCCTTCTTCAGGTGGTTGGAATGTTGAACTTAACCCTTTATTTAGTGAAATTAACAGGAGATAACTGATAACTGACATCCATTAAACATGGCACATGAAACTAGAACAGTCTACTCCAGTGAGCAAAATAAAGGGTTAAGTTCGACATTCCAACCACCTGAAGAAAGCCAGAGCGTACAACGACCGAAACATTGTAATAAATATGGCAACAAAGATTCGGACAATAGTCTGAATAATGTAAATAATGTTTTTTATACAATAGAAAAATATTACTGCAATTCATATATGAGGGGATGATGAAATGGCCAAACTAAGAAGTCCTTTAAAAAAATCTGTATTGTTATTTGTTCATACAAGAAAGAAAACATTACTGTGATTCATATATGAGGGGATATTGAAAATTTCTTGGTCTGACCAAAAAGCCCTTAAAAAAAAAAAAAAAAAAATTTTTGGTCAGATTTTGTGATGTAGGTCAGACTGTTAACTTTTCAGCACTCCTTTGTAAAATATAGCAAATTAAAATAAAATATGTTTATATTGTAATTTCAAGGAAGCTCTGTCTAATTTTCAAACTGTTTTGCTTTTCATTTACTGAAAAGACTTCAACCAAAAGCTATATCTTGGTATCATAGTTCCAGACATTGAGAATTTGGGGGCTAAAATATAACTTAAAACAAAGTTTGATTGGAAACATTTCCATATTTTGGCACAACAACATGGATACAGATATTCTCACAGACATAAATTCTCTTTTGGCAGCAGAAGACACAAATCTGATGCACCTAGGATACATTAAAAAATAGTTAGCTTTAAATTTTATGTAAATATATAACTTTTATATTTATTGGAAATATCTATGTAAAACAGAAAAAACTACCAATTATACAAATAGAATTTGAGTAGCTCCTATTTTACATTTAATATTATTGCACTTTTAAGAATTCTATATCTACCACTATTCATATATTTACACTAACAAAGAATATACAAAATATTCAGCTTTACTTCTTTATTAATCATTCTTATATATTTATTCTTTAAACATTTGCAATAAAATTAATTTCACATATGAAAGAAGCAATAAAATAATGTTTTTATTCTCTGAAATTGACAAGACTATATTTTTAATTTTTTTTTTAATCTGAAATTCTGGGAAGAGTTTTCTCTATTACAAAAGATATTCATACTAATATTTACATCCTTACTAGTTTCATCATTGTGTTTTGGTTAATGTATTCTTTGGCCTTCCTCAAACTGAAGAACATCAACTTGTTAAAAAAAAGAACAAAAAATATCAGAATGAAAAACTCATTGAATATTTAATTTCCCTTAGTCACATCTAAAGACTGAAAATGTATAAGGAAAAACAAGATGAATATTTAAAAGGAATTACCTGTAAGTTTCCAAGTGTAATACCAAGGCAAGGAATTGAAAATACTCTGAAAGAGAAAAATATAAAAAATTTAATCTTTTAAGTGGCAACTGAATAAAAGTTTACACTCTTTAAATTTACTAGCAAAACCCTCTTAACTGGAAAAATATTTTGTTATGACAGTAATAGAAAAAAGGAATTCAAAATATGAATAACATATCTGTCTATATTTCCGAGATGAGGTATTGTAATTATTTAAATTATTTACATTGTTTGGACTGCTGTCCTCATCTTCATTACCATATTCACAAGGTTGTGGCTGTTGTATGCTCCAGCCTTTTTCAGATGATTGGAATTTTGAATTGAAGTCTTTATTTCATCCACCAGGGTAGATTGTTCTAGTTCCACATGCCATGCCTTTTCCAGAGTAGTTGTTACGTTGTAGGGTATGGCTTATACTGACCATTTCTTGTTCATATGTCTCTCTTGATTGCAACTTACAACTTTTGCTCAATGTTGTAAGTAGCAGACAATTTTGAAGGTATTGTCCAGTAAATGTTGGCTTGTGGTATACAAATGTCTTGAACCATGCTCTGTTTGAGATATTAGTATATCCAGGAATGCGTGATTGTTGTTTTCTCTCTCTCGAGTGTGAACTGTATTGATGATCACATGAGTTCTCAAGAAGATCATGGAAATAGAAAAATCAGGTGTAGCTGATCACATATGGCGGGAAAAAGGGAGATCAATGTTCCCTGTGAGATGAGGTTGAAATAATAGAGAGGATACAAAATTAAGGAATCAGTCCATATGCTAAGCAACAAAAAAGTCCTAAGCTGGCCAAACATAGAAATGAATACAATATGGGAAACCAGTAATACATAG